CCAAAAGCTGTCGAAGTGTCTTTAACTTAATAACATGGGCTATGTCTAGACTGCAAACCTCTTTCAAAAGAGGCTTTTTCGAAAGATACTTTTGAAAAAGCCTTTTTCGAAAAAGAGCATCTAGACTACAATCAGTACTTTCGAAAAAGCAAGCCGCTTTTTGAGTCGGGGGAGGGGGGTGGTTTAATACTGATTAAGATGTAGAAGTTGCTCCTACTAAATCACTGATTTTTTTTAAAAATTATTATGCCCTTTGTCTCTTCTTCATTCTGTTTGGCTGTTTGCTTTCTGCTTCATTCTGAGAGATGGAGTGTGTGTGTGTGTGTGTGTGTGTGTGTGCGCGCACGCACAGATGCTTTTGGGAAGGGGAAGTCTAGAAGCTGATTTGGAGAAAAAAAAACCCTGCTCTTTTTTTACTGGGACTGAGTTAATTTTAGTTCCTGGTCTCTGTGTAGGTGGGAACATAACGCTGTCAAAATTCTGTGTTGTAGAATGGAAAATGTGGCTTTGAATAAACAGCTATCAGTAAGAAGCATTCTCTATTCTTATCTAGTCTCTGAACCTTGGGTGAAGGCATCGGCCAGAGAGAGAGAGAGAAAAAACAGCTGTTTATAGAAAATAGAATGGCAGAGTATACAAAGCGATAATGTGCCCCCATCATAGAGCACTGGGTTCTATCTTGGTTGCCTAATCTCAGGAGCCAAAGCTGGAAAAACTTAAAAGAAGGATGGGAGTAAAAATGTAAAGGTTTCATGGGGCTTAAAAGGAAAATACTTTTAAAATGCTGGGATAGAAGGATAAAGAATTAAGAAGAGGTACAGATGTATCATAGAATCATAGAATAATAGGACTGGAAGGGACCTCAAGAGGTCATCGAGTCCAGCCCCCCGCCCTCAAGGCAGGACCAAGCTCCATCTACACCATCCCTGACAGATGTCTATCTAACCTGTTCTTAAATATCTCCAGAGAGGGAGATTCCACCACCTCCCTTGGCAATTTATTCCAATATTTGACCACCCTGACAGTTAGGAATTTTTTCCTAATGTCCAATCTAAACCTCCCCTGCTGCACTTTAAGCCCATTACTCCTTGTCCTGTCCTCAGAAACCAAGAGGAACAAATTTTCTCCTTCCTCCTTGTGACACCCTTTTAGATATTTGAAAACCGCTATCATGTCCCCCCTTAATCTTCTTTTTTCCAAACTAAACAAGCCCAGTTCATGAAGCCTGGCTTCATAGGTCATGTTCTCTAAACCTTTAATCATTCTTGTTGCTCTTCTCTGTACCCTTTCCAATTTCTCCACATCTTTCTTGAAATGTGGCGCCCAGAACTGGACACAGTACTCCAGCTGAGGCCTAACTAGTGCAGAGTAGAGCGGCAGAATGACTTCACGAGTTTTGCTTACAACACACCTGTTGATACAACCTAGAATCATATTTGCTTTTTTTGCAACAGCATCACACTGTTGACTCATATTCAACTTGTGGTCCACTATGACCCCTAGATCCCTTTCTGCCATGCTCCTTCCTAGACAGTCGCTTCCCATCTTGTATGTATGGAACTGATTGTTCCTTCCTAAGTGGAGCACTTTGCATTTCTCTTTATTAAACCTCATCCTGTTTACCTCTGACCATTTCTCTAACTTGCTAAGGTCATTTTGAATTATGTCCCTATCCTCCAAAGAAGTTGCAACCCCACCCAGTTTGGTATCATCTGCAAACTTAATAAGCGTACTCTCTATCCCAATATCTACATCATTGATGAAGATGTTGAACAGTATGGGTCCCAAAACAGACCCTTGAGGAACTCCACTTGTTATCCCTTTCCAGCAGGATTTAGAACCGTTAACAACAACTCTCTGACTACGGTTATCCAGCCAATTATGCACCCACCTTATCGTGGCCCTATCTAAGTTATATTTGCCTAGTTTATCAATAAGAATATCATGCGAGACCGTATCAAATGCCTTACTAAAGTCTAGGTATATGACATCCACCGCTTCTCCCTTATCCACAAGGCTCGTTATCTTATCAAAGAAAGCTATCAGATTAGTTTGGCATGACTTGTTCTTCACAAACCCATGCTGGCTATTCCCTATCACTTTATTACCTTCCAAGTGTTTGCATATGATTTCCTTAATTACCTGCTCCATTATCTTCCCTGGGACAGACGTTAAACTGACCGGTCTGTAGTTTCCTGGGTTGTTCTTATTCCCCTTTTTATAGATGGGCACAATATTTGCCCTTTTCCAGTCTTCTGGAATCTCCCCTGTCTGCCATGATTTTTCAAAGATCATAGCTAAAGGCTCAGATACCTCCTCTATCAGCTCCTTGAGTATCCTGGGATGCATTTCATCAGGACCTGGTGACTTGCTGACATCTAACTTTCCTAAGTGATTTTTAACTTGTTCTTTGTGTATCCTATCTTCTAAACTTACCCTCTCTCTGCTTGTATTCACTACGTTAGGCACACCTCCAGACTTCTCGGTGAAGACCGAAACAAAGAAGTCATTGAGCATCTCCGCCATTTCCAAGTTCCCTGTTACTGCTTCTCCCTCCTCGCTAAGCAGTGGGCCTACCCTGTCCTTGGTCTTCCTCTTGCTTTTAATGTATTTATAAAAGGTCTTCTTGTTTCCCTTTATGCCTGTAGCTAGTTTGATCTCATTTTGTGCCTTTGCCTTTCTAATCTTGCCCCTGCATTCCCGTGTTGCTTGCCTATATTCATCCTTTGTTAGTTGTCCTAGTTTCCATTTTTTATATGACTCCTTTTTTATTTTGAGATTGTGCAAGATCTCCTTGTTAAGCCAAGCTGGTCTTTTGCCATATTTTCTATCTTTCCTACACAGCGGAATTGTTTGCTTTTGGGCCCTTAACAACGTCCCTTTGAAATACTTCCAACTCTCCTCAGTTGTTTTTTCCTTCAGTCTTGCTTCCCATGGGACCTTACCTACAAGTTCTCTGAGCTTATCAAAATCTGCCTTCCTGAAATCCATTACCTCAATTGTGCTGGTCTCCCTTCTACCTTTCCTTAAGATCATGAACTCTATTATTTCGTGATCACTGTCCCCTATACTGTCTTCCACTTTCAAGTTCTCAACTAGTTCCTCCCTATTTGTTAAAACCAAATCCAGAACAGCTTCTCCTCTTAATGTAGATTAAGTAAATATTCCTTTTCAACTTCTTCCACCCCAAAAGAATGGGTTTGTGTGATTTTGTTGTTGTTGAAATTAAAAGAATTACATTTTAAAGAAATATTTAATATTAGCATGTGGGAACTCACTGCTCCTGGAATTTATAGTAAGTAAGTGTGATTAGAGTTAAGAAGTGTATTAATTGTATCAATAATATCACATATTACAAGTATGCAAGCTAACTACTGTTATTGTAAAAGAATTCAAACTTCATGATTCCAGTTATCAGGTACTTTCCTGGTGGGGATGGGAAAGAAAATTTCCCCTTTGCAGATCATGGTACAGGCGGATTGGATGCTTTGTCTGGCTATGCTGGAAGAAGGACAGGAAACACTGGATGTGGTTTAATTAGGGTACAACTTTATTCTCAAATATCTGGAAGTCCCCAACAGGTACAAGTGTACAATGCAGGTCATCGTTTTAATATACACATGAGGGGCTTACCCATCCTTGTCCCCAGCCAACCCACTTCTGGGACTTCACTATCCCTCCTCCTCGAATAAGGTTGCAGGGGGCAGGGTAACAAAGAGGAAAGGGGTTGGCTTCCTGCCATAACAGCCATAGGATACCTGAACCATCCCTTCCCTTCTTGTTCTGCTCCTTTAAAGAGTACCTCCTTTAAATATATTGTCAATCCATTTTATCTGATCGCTGTATCCCTTTGCTATGGAATACCTACACTGGACCACTTATTCCGGAAAAGCAGCCGCTTTTCCGGAATAACTTGCCAGCTGTCTACACTGGCCGCTTGCTTTTCCGGAAAAGCAATGACAATCTACTGTAAAATTGTCAGTGTTTTTCCGGGAAAAACTATGCTGCTCCCGTTCGGGCAAAAGTCCTTTTCCGGAAAAACTGTTCCGGAAAAGGGCCAGTGTAGACAGCACAGTAGTCTTTTCCGCAAAAAAGTCCCGATCGTGAAAATGACGATCGGGGCTTTTTTCCGGAAAAGCGCGTCTACATTGGCCACGGACGCGTTTCCGGAAAAAGTGCTTTTCCGGAAAAGCATCCTGCCAATGTAGACGCGCTTTTTCCGGAAATACTTATAACGGAAAACTGTTCCGTTTTAAGCATTTCCGGAAAAGGGTGCCAGTGTAGATGTAGCCAAAGAGTGACATAGTCTAATTCCCATTTCCCTCCAGACTTGTTGTGGGGAAGGTGAAAAACTCACCACTTCATGTTGGCCGATCTGGCGATGAAGAAGAAATTCCTTCACCCCCTGTGAAAGCAGCAAGTAGAGCAGGTCCCTCAGTGGAGCCTGATAAAACCCAGTATTTGAGATGGTGAGTGAATGCTGCTCTGCCTGGTCCAGGTGAAAGAGGGCTTTTCCTGCACTGGCATGGACCTATCGAGACCCTCTTCTATTCCGGTCACTGGCGGGAGGTTGGGATTCGTCTTGCCTAGAGCAGGAGGCTGGACTTGATGACCTTCAGAGGTCTCTTCCAGCTCTGTGATTCTGTGATCATCCCCATGCTAATCTGGTCTGCCACTGCAGCCGACAGTCACTCACTGGCTCTCTGCCACTCAAAGGGGCACTCGCCTTTTACAATAAGCCAGATAATGCCTGCCCACCCCACAGCTTAGGTGCAGTGGGGTTAGTATTATAGTCACCTCATAAATACTAGGTAAGTATTGGAAACATCTGGATAACACTGTGATGTGTGTGATATAAATTATTAGATAGCCACTACTAATAACCGTTTGTGTATGTGTGCATTTAAATGAGCATCAGTGTACGGTTCATCTGGAATCTCTATCTTGTTAGTACTAGAAATTGGTTTTTGTAACGGATATGCTAATTTGATTTATTTCAGAGACCCAGCATACTTTGATGAAAACTGGTTAAACAGAATCAAAACCGAAGTAGGAGACAATTGGAGGCTAAAGGTATTTTCTTCTTGTTTTCTTTTCTAAAATCAGTATTTTAGTTCTGAATATTTTTTCAATATTAACTTATTTCTAAGTTAAAATATTAGTTTACAGTAGAAGATATCAAATAAACTATTATAAATGCAATTAAGGATTCTTCCGTATCTAAAGTCTTAGCTCTTGTACAGTTTAATTCAATGTCAAAACCCAAGTTAATGATGTACACCCAGTTCTCTACTTTGAGAGAACTTACCAGAAAAATGAACTCTAAAAGAACTTGGAAGGCTTTTAAGAACATTTCAACAGGTAGGAAATTTGAATGAAGGTAACATTTATTTTTTTAAATTAAGTATGGAAATGCATAACTAAATTACCCTAAAAATCTGAAGTGCAGTTCAAAAAAGGCACTGGAAAAATGACATCTTACTACTCTGCTTTTTACGTATATTCAGTCATATCTGTTTACTATAGAGAAAAAGGTAAAATGAAACTATTCTTTACTTCAGTGTCAGCTCAGCTGTGGAAGAGCAAACAATTCTGGTTTGGGTTTGTGCATAATCATCAGATTAATTAACTAATGTCTAGTTCAGGGGTGGGCAATAATTTTTGATGGGGGAGGGAACTCTAAGAGGCTAAGGGCCATACTTTTCTGTTGAGGGGACGGAGGTTGGGTGCAGAAGGGAGCTTGAGGTAGGGAACTGGGGTGAAGGAGAGGGTGTGGGGTCTGAAAGGGAGTTTGGGTAAAAGAAGGGATTGTCATCTGGGGCAGGGGATTAGGGTGCAGGATCTGGGAGGGGATATGAGTGCAGGAGAGGTGTCTGGCCTTGAGGGAGGGAAGTAGAAGAGGGTACAGGGTCTGGGAGGGAGGTGTGATCTGTGGTTGTATGCAGAGGGTTTGGGTAGTGACCTGGGGCAGGGAGTTGGGATGCAGGGAGGAGATGGGGTGCCAGAAGCAGGCTCTGGCTGGGAGGCACTTTCCTAAGCGGCTCCTGGCCAGCAACCCTGCAGGACCCCGCCTGCTAGTAGCCTAGACCACTCAAAGCATCTGGCTGCTCCCTGTGGCTCTCTGCTCTGTGTGGTGGGGGTGGGGGGAAGGGAGGGCGGGCAAAAGCACTTTGCTCCCCCTGTCCACAGCACAATTTCTCAGCTCCTATTGGCCGGAACTGAGAGCCATAGGGATCATCCGGCTACTTAAAGTGATGTGGGGCTGCTCTGTGTCTGAGGGTCCCAGTGGGGCAGGCCACAGGCAGGCTACATCTTGCCCACCCCGGTCTAGTTCCCGAGCCACTTGTGCAACTCAGTCACCTTGTAATAATATCTTTAGTTACACTTTTATAAATCCTCAAGTCAATAGATTGCATAGGTGTAATAAGTACTTTTTGACCTCCACAGACAAGGAAGAACACAGCCAGATGTTGAGAGCTCAGTGCTGGTTTGACTGCCCATAGCTTCACAACAGGCTGAAAGTGCAGCTGCGGCTTTTGCATCTCTCAGTTTATATTGGAGGAAGGGAACAGTCTCCTGTCAGTTTGACAGGAGCTTGAATGTGATGCGAACACTCCCTTCATTCCTCCCTTGTCTCCCCCTCTCCCCTAAAAATAAGTTTAAAGAATCCCTGGTTATCTCTTCCCCTCCTAAATGAAGATTAGGGCAGCAGTAGCTGAGATTTGTTTGTTGAGCTCATTATTCTTAGTAGTTTTTCAGTCCTTCACTTAAGAAAGTTAAGAGCTAATATTTTCCATGCAAGAAATGCTCTAAAAGAAACAAACAAAAAATCCCCCAAACAATGCAACCTTTAAGAGCTTCATAAAAAACAGTAAATGGCATCAACAAAATATTTAAGTCTTTCTTTGTAGTCTTGACATTTGCAGGGATCCTTGCTGTAAGGAGTAGGCATATCTGACCACACAGTTCCAGTAGGCTTAGTCTTCAGCTCTGTATATATTAGTCATTTGAAACGTGATAAGTGGGGATATCGTCAGAATGTGTGCTTGGATGGCTTTCGTCCAGATTTCAGATGTCAGTGGTGTTTCCCTGATGATTTTAATGATCGGAGTGAAAAAATTGATTACTGGATTAGCATGGTGTGTACCATCCCAGCAAGGCTTTGTCATAGCGAACAGCACAATATTCTTGCTGTTTGTCAGGCATGAGACAGAGCTCCATTCCCTGTCTCCAGGGCTTGCACTCAAAGTACAAATCAGCGAATGGATCCAAGGATGGGGAATAGATGAGGTAGAATAACCGTGCAACTGATCTTGTTTTCATGATGCACCCTTGACTGGATTCTCCTGGGTTCAGGCTGGGACAGTGGGACTGCTGTGTCCTTTTAAGTCTCTCCAGCTTGGGTTGTGTTTCGTAATGCTTTGCGGGTGACCAGTAGTAAACCCTCCTGTGGCTGTCATCTCTCAGTTCAGCTGCGTGTCAAGCCCAACGCTCAGCCATAGTGAGTTCTCCCAGAGCTGCTCACGAATCTCTGAGAGTAAGATACCCTGGGCTCACCCTGTGTTTAGTTTTTATTCCATGTGCTTGGGAAGCCCAAGTCCAGGCATGTCTGGAGGCATTGCTGAGCTTCCAGGCAAAACTGAGCAGTTCCCCTGGCATGGCCTCATGCAAGAGAGTCATTGCACTGTAGCTCCCTTGCTGAAAAATGACTGTTGAAACTCCACCAGGGCTTTGACTATTCTCCTTGCTATTCTCTGGGAAGCTAATAGCTAGCTGATTCACTAACTTACAATATGCTTTAGTGACAACTATAGAACACATTCACATAATTTCATACGCATTGATGATATACATATACAGACAGAGAAATGACTTTCAGCAGATCATAACCTTTTCCCGGATACCTTACAAGGCATGATCACATTCATATAAAAATGAGGAATATGAAGGTTACTAGGGTCCTTTCCAAGGTAGAGTTTCACCTTCCCCCCGATATCCTCCTATTGTTGGTGCCATTTCCAATGAGGAATTAAATAAATTACGTTCTTATAAATTTTGGATAATCACAGTCATTAGTAATCCATCTTTTCTATTGGTAACAAATAGCCTCGCCTTACCAATTTTAGTGTAAGAAATATTTTTTGTAAAAATCTCTAAAACTGAAAAGATAATTATCTCTTGCCTTGCTTAGTGCAAAAGCAATCCACTTTGAATAATTATATTTTAGATTGCATGCAGAACAGAGATTTTTCTATTAAAAAAACATTTTGGAAGCAGAATGCCAATCATTGCAACTTCCCTAAACTACAATGTTCCTGTGGTCAGAAGATATAGGAATATCATGAACTGAAGAGGCCTGGTCATGCACTTTGAAAAGTGGTTGATCCCATTGCTGTACATAGTGTTTTGAGACTGTACGTGTTTTCAACATATTTTTATGACTGTACATAATATTATTGACACTGTAGAGGGGATGAGAAGAAAAAATTGGGTCACTTCCTGTTTTTCTCATTCAGTATGGTATTGTTCAGAAATTAATAAATTTTGGGGAAAGGTTGAACAATATGTTCCCAATTATCTCCTATCAGATCCCAAGCTTTTTGTCTTTGATATTTGCCTGGGCAATCAGACTGCAGCATTTGTTAAAAACGTAGTTTATTACCTTTAAATATTGAGTAACATGGTCCAACCTTATAATGATAGTTTGTTAGATTTTCTACCATTAAAATAGATCGTTGGATGTCTTGTGCAAAGGGAGGATGTCTTTGAAGATGGATGGCTCTCCGTTTGAAGCAAAATGAAACAGTCTATTAAATTAGGATATAAACTGTTTAGTTTTATAATTCAACCAACCAAACCTGGATACTACTTGCTACTCTATAGCAATTTTTTTCTTGCTATAGAGTAGGTTTTATACCACTTCATGACCCTTTGGGAAGTTGCTGTACTAGAATGCTATTAACACTTTAACTTCCCCTCTCCTGGGACTGTGACAGCTCATTCTGCGTGAGCTCAGATCACCTCTTTGCCCCAACCAGGCAGATGGTGGGTTAAGCATGGAAAATGAGCAAAGCCAGTATGTCAGTTCAATCATGAGAGTGCCACTGATATTTGCAGTGAGCCCATATGATTGTGGTCTGATCTTTAATAGAATATGGGAACTTCTAAAAATAGGCTACCACCACATGAGCTGTTAATTGAAGAACTATGTAGAATACAGCTGAAACCTACTACAATAACTGTATAGACCTCAAACAGACTTTAGATATAATTAGACAAAAATGGTTTTGGCAAGTCTTGAGGACGTGTGGCATCCTTGAGAAATTGATTGAGCGGATAGAAACGTCTACAGCAAGTCTATGGGCGAAGTGCGAGTAAATGGAAAGATACTGGATGACTGTAGAGTTGAGACAGGGACGCACACTATTGTCAGACTTGTTCAGCTGACTGCTGAAAGCAATAATGAATCTAGCATGGACAGATGGAACCAGCAAACTCATGCTATGTGTGAGGATAGTCAAGGATTTTATTGACTTCAGAGCATTGACAGAGGAGGATTTACAGGGAATAACTGAAAAGGTAGATGTGGACAATAGAACATTCAGACTGAATGGCAACTGAAAGTCAAGGGGAAGAGATAAAGATCATATGCAAAGAACTGAAACATGGAAAAAATGATGTACCTTAGAGGACTGGTATCAAGAAATGGGAATTGTGTAGCTGACATGGAAAGAAGTATCAGACTAGCTGTTATGGCATTTGGAAAACTTTGCAAGACCTTCAAGGCTAACGACATTTAGATGAAAAACTAATAACCTGTATGAGATGATTGTTGTATCGATACTGCTTTATAGTGTTAGATGTTAGACCAGTTGAAGTTGGAGTTAGTTTTATTATGGTGGGTCTTATGATTGGGTCTGTTATACACTGGTGTTACAGCAAACACGTGAGTGAGGTATATCAAGTTATTGCTTGTTGTGGAGGGGGAAAGGTTACATCACAGGAATCAGATGTTGGGTGTCTTTTCAGTTAACTTAGGTGCCCTAATCTTGGTAGCGATCTCTTACACCAAAAGGGGTATAGTCTGCGTTGGGGATGATATGGAAGGAAGGCAATCGCTTTGTTTTCAATTAGGGGATCTTGATTCGCCGATGGGGAAAAGGATAGTATTTTTCATTTTATTTCTTTGTCACTTTTGGGAAACATTCAAGGTCCCCGTGTACTCTGCGGTAAACTGGACTTAATTCTGCAGCATGGCCATTGGTTTCTGTGGCACTTTGGTGCAGCAGGCTGGAAATTCTGCGGCAGCCTCAGGTAAATTCAAAACTGGAGGTGTTCAATGAATCAGACATGAAAATGAACAATACAATCATTCCCAATCATGTTTGATTTGATATTAAAATCAAGTGATTTACCTTTCCTATAAATGTTAAATTTGCTGCAGATTTTTGTAATGACAATTTATAACTGCTATAAACAGGGTTTTTTTTACAGAGGTTCGGGGGACCTGTATGCTTCAGCAGTTGGGTAGGAAATTGTTGGACATTTTGACACCTTAGAAGGTGTGGGAGGTGGGTTAGGATTGAGGAATTAATGACAATTCTTTGTTCAGTCTGACATCATTAGAGAGTTTGGAATACCTTCAGTTTGCTCTATGGTCTCTCCTATTTCTCATTTTAGGCTGATTATGATCTGAAACATCCAAGTGGACAGCATCTTTGCTTGTCTGCTTTGAGATTTTATAGTCATAACACCTAGGCGCCTATCCCATGTGGTTTTAGATCTGTGTATGTAGGTGGTTACAATTTAGAACTTGTTTGCTTTACTGGAATTGGCAAATGGGAGGGTATGATTAGAACAGTTGGACCATCTCCTCCTCCATTTTGAATTCATGGCTCACATTTGTGTGCTATTTTTGGATGAAGGGCCTGTTTCATTGTATAGCCAATGGAGAGTGATTGAACTGAATGGCTTTCAGAATTCTCTATGTTGGCTAAGTCTGTTGTTGGCCAACTACTTTGCCCTTAACATCACTACAGTGAGTGCTACATTTTCTCTGCGTTATTTTACAGGGTCTTGATGGAATACAAATGATACGTAGCACTGCTTAGCGTACTCTTTACTAGATTATATATAAAGTGTGTTTATAATTCTTTCCCATTGTTCTAACATATGTGCAGGGTTTTTTCCACTCCCCTGCATAGTATCTTTTACAAATCCATGACATCTGTGAGTGGCTATGGCTGGTGCACTGGCTGGGGAAACCTAGCTGCCGACATACACCAGTTTCTCATCAACAGTTTTATATCTACATCCTGGCCAAATAGGAAGGATCAAAACAGGATTAACCTCTTCCAGGGGACAGATGCAAAGTTGTCTTTGGTTGGAGTTCTGGCCAGTCTTACTTGGTGAGGTACTGAGGGTGCTTCTGTCATGGAGTCAGAGCCAGAGCCCTCGTAGTTAGTAAAATCAAGATGGGAGTGAGTTAGTTCTTTTTTCAGCAGAGTGGAGGGGCCTCCCAGGGTTGAGATCATCTAGAAGCTACAACAGATATAGAAAGTAAGGAATGTGGTTTAAGTACGGTATATTTAGAGATTTGACCAAAACGTCCCCGAGAGCTCCAGAAGGTGTTAAATCCACGTATAGAAAGTAAGGAATGTGGTTTAAGTTCAGTATATTTAGAGATTTGACCAAAACATGTCCCTGAGAGCTCCAGAAGGTGTTAAATCCACACCCAGGCCTGCCTTGCTCTCTCGCTGATCCTGCACCCCCGTAGCAGCAAGAACAGATTCTGCCAGCAGTAGAATAGCGAGGTTATATTGCTCCTCCAGGATACAGCACAGCATAGACGTGGTGTGTTTACAGGATTCAGGGCTAGGGTGTTTCAGATCCCTTGGGTTAGAGTCCATCACCCCTAGCCCACAGCCCCAGCAACCTCAGTCTGTCTCCCTCATGGTTCCAGCCCCAGACTGACCCTTCCCCCGAACACTCACTTCCCTAGTTCCCTCACTGCCCCAACTCGTCTGACCGGTTGGGTCTTTGTCTACGGGACTTAGGCAGCCCACCAGCAGGGCTTTGTCCCGTAGACAAAGACCCAATCAGTCAGATGAGTTGGAGCAATGTGGGAACTAGGGAAGTGAGTGCTCACAGGCAGAGGCCAGTTGAGATCATTCACAGCCCACAATCCAAGCACACCAACCAGCAAGATACTGACACTACATCACAGCGCAGAGGGACACCGGAATAGAGCAGACAGCACCCCCACTACTCCACACCTCACTTGTAGGACATAGTATTTCTTGTTCAAGTGTGTGTCACTATGGATCCCACTCTGTATGTGCGTGGCCCTCGTGTGTGGGAGCGGAATCTTTGAGCTGCAGTAACCATCAGGCCATGCCTGCACCCTGTTGGTCCTTGTCCCTGCTCCCATAAGGGCGTAAAGCTCAGCAGAGTGGCTAGAACCATCCTTCAGTTCTCTCATACTGCCTGTGCTAGCGAGACAGATCTGGGCTGTATATATCTGCTGCACCCTTCTCCAGCAACAAGGAAAGAGAGGAAATACCATAGGTAGGTAACTAGGGTTAATTCTCTTCAGGAAATTCTTGTAATTTTATTGCAGAACTCCTCCCTATCGCCCCCAAACATGAGTTGTTATTGGGTACTTTTCACCCACAACCATTACCATGGTGGCTCCAAACCCTGTCCATCTCACAAATAACATACTCTCCTCACAGATGCAGGTGTCCGTGGTCTATTCTGTTTCGGTGAAAGCCATTGGACTGCCAGTTTTTCTCATCAAGAATGAGAAAATAGGGAGACACTAGGCTAAAACTATTTCTTTTGGAGTGGTCGGTGAGGGGCACTGCAGACCCAAAGGAATAGGTGTCAGGCTGCACAAAGAGACCTTGTACCTCCAAGCCCAGTCAGTGCTCTTGTGAGCTGGGATGCAACGCATAAGGCTAATTCATCCATGACAGCCCAATGTCAGCTTGTCACCGGTGGCTACTCCAGCACCAAAGGCCTGTGATGTATCCTCCGCTTGGAAACAAGGTAGACCAGAACACCAAATGGGACATGGTTGCTTAGAGAAGGAAAAACTCAGAGGCCTGAGAAAAGAGCATTTGCCTTCTGTCTCCTCCTGGGAATTGGGCAGAAACTCATGCAGGGCCAGTGACATAGCATTAATTTCTGGCCCCGTACCAAGTAGGGATGTAAAATCCTGTTTAATCAGTTAACCTATTAAGTGGGATCTCACGCGGAGCAGCCCCCAGTGCATTTGGCACTAACTCTGCTGTCTAAATTCTCAGTAATGGCAACTCCCCCCCCGCCCCCCGGTTTCCCTTCTCCCATTTACCATGATCAGGAAATAGTTCACCCTCTCAGTTCGGAGCCCCAGCCCATACCTGTCACTTTCATGACACTGGTTTGAACAGCCCTCGCCTAGACATTTTTCACTGTGGCCTGAGTCAAAGCTCATGCCAGTCAGTAGGAATTGTTCTCATTCGCTTCATTGTGCTTCATTGACTGGCACGGGCTTTGGATCAGGCCCACAGTATGGGACAATCTTATATAGTATTTTTATGATCATAATGAATTATTGATTCTGGGAAGATACTTTTCACTAGAAATTCAACTAGACTTACATTTGTGTATGTGGTTCTGCTTTCAGTATTACTTATGATTTATTTTGGCCTGCTTTGTGTACCCCACATTTGTTTTTATATATTTACATGCTGCAGTAGAACTTTGATTTTACTAACACCAGCCTTGCAAATGACCAGTTATATAAACCACTTTTCTGGAAAGGCAGGGGAAAAAAAATCACATAATGAAAGTGATGTCAATGAACAAGTTGCCATATCTTCACACTACAGTCTCTTCAATGGATCGGAATTATCTCTGCAGTGGTTTAAAAAACAAAAAGGACGATTCAGTGCATGATACTGTAACATGCACTGTACCTGCCATAATTTTGAGGGGTACAATTTTTTTGAACATTTCAATTTTATAAATTCCAGTCCTCAATTAGTTTGTAAAATTAGAAGTTCTACTGTATCTTAAATTCAGTAGCTTTATATATTTAATTTCTCTTTTCCCTCTTCCATCAAACAGATAAGCAATCTGAAGAAAATTTTAAAAGGAATATTGGATTATAATCATGAGGTAAGAACTATTTCCCAGTGCTCTGTACAAACCTTTCTTTCTACTGAACGTTTTCATTATGCGCGTTGAACGTGTTACTGAATATTGATTTGTTGAGCATTAGGTCCAGATATATTACAGGTGCTCAGCACTCAATAGCTCCCAGTGGAGCTGAGCTCTTTGAAAAAAATCTGACCCTTATCTCATGCAATGGAATTGTTCATTTTTCTAAGTAGCCATTCTGTATTTTATCTGCCCTTCCATACTCTTCAACCCTGTCTTACCAAAATAAATGAACTTAGCATGGGCTGTCCTTGAGTACTAGACCTCTCCAAAGCTTTACTGCCATACTTCATCAAGTATTCCATTAAGGAGCAAACCCAGCTTCCAAACTGTGTTGAAAATAAAACCACTAATACTCTTAAGCATCTTGACATGAAAATAGTAGGTGCCTGGTGACTCTGTATTGGAGTTGAATGCATACAAATTAAAGCTTGTCTGTCTGATGTTTTCTTCTACGCCTAGTGAAAACTCTCTCTCTTGGATTGTGTGTGTGTGTGTGTGTGTGTGAGGAAAATAGTCAGTTGAGGCAGAGAGAGAAAAGTTCATTAAAAGTTTTAATTTCAGACTGTTACAGCTGTACTATGGAAGCTTCTACAGAGAAGCTCTTGTGCTACTTGTCTCCCAAGACTGCACTGCGTGGGAGGGATAAGATATTTATTCCCTGCTATGTGCTGAGGTAGCTGGTGTATTAAGAATGCAGAGAAATGGGCACAAATGGGGCATATCAGAGAGATTTCATACTCCAAGCACTTGTTTTCTCTCAACACGTAACTATTTTGGAAAAGAGGAAGAGAATACATTTACTAAGACTTGGAGGGGAGAGGGGAGCTTCAGAAATGGGGGCCTAAAGACTCCCAAATTGAAACTTAATAAATAGGCTAATTTTCAAAAGTTCTAGGTATGCTTACGTTAAAGTCTCAGAAGGAAAGGAATTGAGCAAACATGTTTTTCAGCAAACATGTCAAGGTCTGTAAGTTGCTCAGCACGAATCTATCAGAAAGACAAACATACACTTTTCTAGGGACTTGTTTGTTATCTGCCGTGTAAAGACCCTTATGGATCCTTTTCCATGCCCTTCACACACACTGCTCGCTACCTTTGCTTGTCAATCTGGATTCAAAATAATCTTTTTTTACAGTTCATTTGGCAGATACTTCTTTCATAGCCATGTTGAAGGAAGAGCACTTTCTAATTGGAGTATCATAAATACATCAGGACCTGCGCAGGGCTATTCCTTTACCAACAGAATATTGCTTTAAATTCTAAGCTTCCTCTAGTTTCCTTAGTCTCTAATGCAGAGGTGGGCAATAAAATGAAGGCGGTTTGCCAGGGCTAGCTTCTGGTGCGCTGCTGCCACTTTATTTACCTGCGCCTCTGCAGGTGTGGGTGCTTATAGCTTCCATTGGCTGTGGATCACAGTTCCCAGCCAATGGGAGCTGTGGGAAGCGGCATGGACCACAACACTACTTTGGCGGCTCCCATTGGCCGGGAATAGTGATCTATGGCCAATGGGAGCTGCAAGCACCCGTACCTGTGGAGACACAGGTAAATACAGAGGCGGTGGCCTGCCATGGGCTAACTCCGTTTTACCAGAAATATCTTGCTAATATGTTTATTTTGTAATCCCAACCCCATAACCTCTATCGCCAAGTGACGTATGTCCTACCTAGCCTCCCAAACAGCCTCTGCAAAGAAATATAAACATTTTCGTCACATATTACAGATTGGACCAGTGTAAAAATTGGATATCAAAATAGCCATACTGTATTGATTATATTATTCATTTTATGTTTTACTTAATACAAATACTCATTTTCAGTTTACATGTATCTGCTATAGAATTCACATGCTGGTTCACTTGAGTGACAGAAAAATGAAGGATCCTTGCTAAAGAATTTGGGTCCCCATAGTACACATGGGTATTAGTTATATTAATGCCTATTCTTTGGGCAAGGCGTATAAGGCAGTCTTCTGTTGTAATCTTTTTAAAACAATTTGATTTGTAAGACAGTCATGTGGTATTCTATACATACATTTGCTAGATACTTTTGAGTAAATATCTTCCCCAAAGTTGAGTGTTTTTTGGATTAAAAAATTAGCAAATAAATTACACATTCCTTTCAGTCACTCTTTTTTTTTTTCTCTGTTTACATTTTTGATCTGTTAAATTGACTGTTTTTTCTACCTGCAGTTGATGTGCTAAAATTTTGACTCACCCCACTTTTCATAGTAATAGCTTCAACTCTTGCAAAGCTTTTTACTAATCTAGCAGAACTGCTTAATTCTCTCAGCTGATGCTCATTAATGTGTAAATGCGTCTAGGTTGTAAATTGGCTTACAATAATTGTATGTCAGGTATGATTTTCTTTTCTTCAGCTTCTTTTCCTTCTTTCTCCTTGCTTCCATGTCAAGCAATTTTTTTTTAATGGCCTCCTTTCTGCTGTTCAGTTTGTCCTATACCACTATTTCAGATGGTTTCCACAGACTGAAAATAAAACTGCTTGACCAAGGAGGTTAGTGACAGTTTTACATTTTTAGGTATTATCGTGCATCAGGGCTAGAGACACGTGCTTTATATCATTGGAATATTTGGAATTCTAGTTTTACACTGGTGTGATTTGCAGTTTATTTCCCAGATGCAATTAAGTTATTCTGTCTGATGGCAAATTTTTGTATCTGAATAATTCTGTATTTGAATTGTGGAAAACAACTTCATTTTTTAAAAGTCCAATGGACAGGCACTGTTGGTCAGCTGTCTTCAGAACTTCCTCATGTTGCTGGCTTGATTGCCAGCCTTTCCCAACCTGGAAGAACAGGTCAGCACCGGTGAGTGTGGTTGTTCAGTCCTCATGAATTGAGACAGCATTCTCTAGACTTTCTGAAATGCTAGTTGCATCAATTTATTTGGGTGGAATTTGCATTATAGGGTCCTGTCCAAAGGTAAGTGGGCAGAGGTTAGCCAATTTATTTAAATTGAGATTCAAAGTCGGGTTTGAAAACTGTGCCAAAGATAAGAACGTGAGCTCTTTCTACTGGCTTCTTGCCTTACCTACCTGAGTTGCTATGTATATATGTTGTGTTTTTGTGCAGATTTTAGGGCAGCAGATTAATGACTTCACCCTTCCTGATGTTAACCTAATTGGAGAGCACTCGGATGTTGCGGAGCTTGGAAGAATGCTGCAACTCATTTTGGGATGTGCTGTGAATTGTGAGCAGAAGCAAGGTAATCAATTTTGAATGTGCATTATGCGTCATTAATGGAAGTCAGAGTTGGTGCATAAATGAGGTGGGGAAAATCATGTTTCTGGCATTGTTGTCAGAAGCACGATTTATTCTCCTGTGGGTCATGACTTTGTTTTGTCTCATTGATGATAGCTGCCATCGCATTACCAGTTTCCCTGAGTTTGCAATCTGGAACTGGGGACCTGGTTCTTGTATGCTTCTGAAGGATGGCTTTCCTTTTGGTTCCAGGAATAGAAATGAAAAATGGCTCCACCTATGAAAATTATTGAACCCAGCTTTTAATTATTAATTATTATGGGAAGGCTCTGTTGCAGCTTCTTATCTGGTTTAATTACAAGTTCATAGGTACGGGAATGCAGCCTTTTGCTGTAAAATCAGCTGCTATCAGAATTTACAAATATGAGATCCAGGAAGAGAAAAAGTAGAGGGCATAGATTGAGGAAAATGCACAAAGACAAGAAGAGGGTCTCTCATCAGATACACAAGGTACACAATAAGTTACTATTGAAAGGTAGGATGAAAATCCTGAAAGGGCAGGACCTGTTCTTGAATCATCTCCTTGTTTTCCTGTCTGAATAGCTCAGGGGGGAAAAGGGAGCTGCAACTGGAAAACAGATATTTCCAGTGGGAATTCTTTAGTGGGCTTTTAAAGATAAAAATTATTATTTTGACCCAACTGTTGATCATTTTGCTACAGTTGCCCATTGCCAGCATCAATCAGGACAATAGCGGTTATTGGATTGCCCCCTTAATTTACAACCTTTCCACAGCTACTCCAGCCCTTGGCAAGAGCACAGAAAGGAAGATGTGTATCCAGACATGATGCACTTACAAAAGAATAACTGCATTATCCCTGTTGTCCACAATTTGCAGGTTTTGTTACTGCAAATGGCCTGCAACCTTATTTGTGTTACAACTGAGTACTTAGCACATTGCTTGATCGTGAAATGACAGTTTTTGGAAAAATGTCTCTCTCATTCACTTGGCCTGCCGCCATATGTATGTATACATGAGCCTTCAGAAATATCTTACTGAGCCTTGCCATGGGACTTGAAAGTATGCCTTTCTGTTACTGTACTACTGGGTTTACTGGGATGGAGTCTGGTCTGGCCACTGACTGGGCACAAATTCCATGCATGGCACCTGTGCAGTTTGCAGGCGAGAGGTGGCTTTTTACCCCTTTATTCTGTATTTCTGCCGTAAGTGTAATAATAACATGCCAGAATGTTGTTTGCTTTCAGAATACATCCAGACCATCATGATGATGGAGGAATCTGTCCAACATGTTGTCATGACAGCGATACAGGAGGTATGCTGAAGTGTCCGTAAGATGTAACAATTCAGCATTTCATTTCAGTACCAGGATATACTTTCTCAGTTTTGCTAATTCAGTAGGAAGAAGTAATTAATAAATGGGGTGTGGAATTTAGCATTTATAAAGGTAGAACAAGGAATGTTTTCCTCTTTTGTTTAGGGAAAACAAATATTTGTAAACCGTATTTAGGTAATAGAATTCAGGCAAATTTCCACTTTTCTTTAAGTCTAGAAGATTAAACTTCTAGATATTGACACTGGGCTTCCCTTCCTTTGCCTTTCCTTACCTATGGCTCCTAAAAACACACCATACTTTGTTGTGTAAGTAGCAAAACAAGTACTGTAGTACGTCATTCATTTGCATCTAGTAATTGAGAGACTCCCTGAATTACTGAATTTTGTAAAAGGGCAAGTAAATGAACAAATACAATAAAGAGGAAAACGCATTGCAAAATCTACTTTGTTTTATTAGCTGTAGCCTAGTTTTAGTTATTGCTGAACCTGACTTCATAGTAGTCAATAAATTTACTGTACTATATTTTAGAAAAATGTTTTCATTTTAGTAACATGAGACCTCCTTAGAGATTTGTTTGTATAGCTATAAAAAGTGCAGAAAGGCCACACTTGCTTCTCAGATTGAGCATTCTGAAAATGAAAATTAAAAAAATCTTTCATTCCCTGTCCTCCCCTAAGCCAGTGCTGTCCGGAAGTCAGTTCCTGGTTTCTTGGCTTATATTTTTTGGTATTTTTTGTGTATATGTCTCCCCTTCTTTCTGCACACCTGCCATTTGTTTTGATAGGATTTTTTATGTCTGTCTCTTATTGGTTCCCAGATCTTAGTAGCGCTTTCCACTCTGCTATAATGGACAAAAAATAAGTAGATATTCAGGAGATGTGGTTCCTAATCTAATAAAATATCCACGTTAATAACCTTGCCCATTGTTTAATGGATCAATGGAGCATTTATCCAGTGGCTATGAAGCTTGTTCAGAATTTTTGGACTATGCTGAGAAATAGGTGACACCATAGGCTAAGGGCTCTCCTTTGGAGGAGCCTTTGAAACTCACTTGATCAAAAGAGCCCCTTTCCAAGTAATTTTCCAGATGGGAGCAGCTTGACTCTGTCATTCAAAGAGCTTAGATGACTAAGAAATTCAGAACCTAATGGAGAGTTCTGAGGTGCTTATTCAAAAATTTCAGATCCTTCTCAGAATAAAGAGTTCAGATCCGAGGAAAACCTTTAGAGCTGCACTCTTCATCTTTGGAGAAAAATATAGCTCCTTGAAAACTTCTTTGCAGAGCTGGGTGGGCAATGGACTTCCAAAGATAAAGAGTTAGTGCCACAGAATTGTGTTCGTATTGTACCTCATAGCAGGTAGCCTCCATGGGTCCTAGAAAGTTCAAAGGTATAAGGATTCCTTTGATCGAGGACATTCAGAATTTTGTCATATCTGGTGGACTGCTTGGAGCAGACCTTTGCAGAGGGATTTGAGTGACTCAGGTTTGTGGAGGAGTTACCAAAATAAAGTGCTGATATGGTAGCCATGTAGGCAGGTGAGAAATGTAGGTATTCCATACCTACATCATCTTAAGCATTACAAAATACTTTCCATACAGTGAGACTGTATTAAGTATTCATAACATATAAGGACTTGTTAAATAAATCTTTCTACTGTATTGCATAGTCTGGTTCTTTCCCAGTTAGGTTAAATATATGCAAATGCTTATAGATGATGTTTTCTTAATTTATATATAATTACTAATACTAGTTATGGAAGCATGTCTCATAGCACAACATAAATGGCCATCTGTCACCTATAATAACCTATCCTGAAGGTGGTATTTTTTTCACAACAATATCGTGGCATATTTCACAGTACAAAATGATAATTTTACATGTAAAATTTCATACTAGAAAATGAATTTAAATGAATATTTATTTTATTTCAATTTCCTGTGCTTTTGAACAACTGTATACTTTGATCATCAGAATTTTTAAGTAAAATCCCAAGCTTAAAAATAAATGGAAATTATTTGTTTCTTCAGGCAGATTCTGAAACATTTCGAACATCTTATAAATCTCATTTAAACCAAACAGTGCCTTGATAGTCTGCTCATTTCAGTAGAGCTGAAATCCTGTATATCAACCATTTAAATTTTAAGGCTCCTGAAAACATTTATGCACATTCATAGATTTGTACTGAACTCATAGATTTGCATGATGGGGGCTTAAGTATGTGATTTTCAAAGCAATGAAAAATCTATTATAAAGTTTTCAATTTCACATTTTATACAGATTTTCTTTTCATGGCAAACAAAAAATTAACGTTTTCCATGAAATCTCTTTCTGTAACAATACAGCTTTGCGATTGCTTCTGCTCTCATAATGCATATGGCAAATTATGCTGTTCTTTTCCCAAGCCTCATAGAATTAGTCATTTGGAAGGTTGAGAGTTCTTTACCAACAAATAGGAAAATACCTTCATTTCCTAATAACTGAACTTAAGAAACTTCATAACAAATTCCTTTTCCCTTCTAGTATGCATGCCCACCAGACCATCAAAACAGAGCCATGCCCTGTATTGCAGAGTACTTGAGGCAGTTTCAAATCTGTCTGAGACTGCACAGCAGGAAAGTTGTTGGACTGATCTGAAAAATGTTGTTTTCACAGACATAGCAAATTTCAGTTTTCCTGTGTTTCAGCCTCATTGTTTTCAAGTTTCATTTTGTCTTCAGTAAAAACTATAGAGGCTGCTGTATGGAATAATCAGTGATGGCTGAAAATGTCAAAAGTCATGCTGTGTTAGAAGCTGTAGAAGATGTTAGATATACCATTGGATCTCTTGAAAATAAATCTCCATAAAACAGAGATCTTAGTCTGACAAAGGAAACGAACTGTGTGCAACTTATATATAACGCAACAGCAGAATCAAACATCTTCATGTTATGACATCATAAAACATAGAATAAAAGAGAAAGATTAAGTCGTGTATGATAAACAAGAATCAAGTGCGTGTTTCTAGGATATTCATGCATGTCGATCACATGATAACCTTAGTTACTAAGCTTGTATCCATGACAACACTCATATTCAGCCCGTATGAGGAAACCAGTTAAAATTGGGTAAGGGTTTTAATAAAATACAACTAACATGGCTATATGTATTTATTTTTGTAATGCTACTTGCCATAGTGGTGGGCATAAAATAGGTGAATTAGAATAATAAAGAGAGTGCCAGTTATTTTCTATAAAAATATAAACTTGATAAAATTAACTTGTAGCACAGATTGCTTCATCTGTGCTTTTAAGATCATGGATTTGATATCTCTCATTTACCAAAGAATAGGTTAATTTTGGGGTGGGGATATTAGAGATTTCTTGAGGCTGAATCATAAATGGTGGGTTGAAATTAAAGCTCTGATTCTAGAATTCTTAGTAAAGCATTTTATATAGCTCTTATGAAGTCTGATAACAATCCAGTTGGCTTGGTTTGGAATGCTGTCATGTGGGACTAGAAACTAATGGCTGGTCTGTTCAAAGGTTAAAATAGGTTATACCTGTGGAGAGGAGACGGCTGAGTGAGCCCCACAGGGGTCAGTGTTGGTTTCAATCTTCTGAGGAGAAAGAAGTTCTACTAAGGGGCCTAGCAAGGTTAGAAATAGTGTAAGGAGACTATAAAATGGTATTCAACTTAAAAACCAAGGCACTATATTAGATATAAGTTCCAACACTATAGTTTGTGGTAATGAAAAGAGCCACTAACTTGTCTTTGCAGAAATACCAAAAGACAGAGCAAGGACTTGATGGTCTCTCTTCATAAGAATTTGGGCTTTATAGATGCAGTATTTTGTTTGAGTAGCTTCTCACCGGAAACTTGTAGATAAACTGGAAGAAATTTAGTGAAGAGCAACAAAATGGCCAAGGGCTTTGTAGAGAACTTTAGCTATGCCTAAATATGCATAGGTTGGTTACATGACAGAGGGTGGGAGTGCAAAAGTGTTCAAATATTTGAATGGCATTGAATGCTGGAGGACAGGGAATGATTTGTTACTGCACATTGTGATGTAACCAGAAGTTAAGGGATGACATTTAAGCAAAAGAAAACTGAGTGCTCAATAGCAGAAGAAATTATGACGAGTTGGATAACTACAGGATGGCCATCCATAGAATGTAGTGGAAACGGGCTCTGTTCAGAGATTTTTAACCCCAGGCTGGATGAAGCTTGAGGAATTATGCTGAAGAGAACGTTCTTGGTTTCATGGATTGGTTTCATGTCTGGTTAGATTGGTTAGTCGTCTTCATTTCTAATACCTATTATTCGTGTAATATTAGAACCAAACCAGAAATGGGTATGTTCTAGTAGTCCCCAAAGCAACCCGTACAAACCCGTATTTGTTTTTGGGTTAATTACAACATAACTAATTTTTTTATCAGTATATTACTAGTATGTACTCAAGCTTAATTTCTGCCTTAACATAGCGGGGTTTGGATTTGTTTGGAATTTGTGTGTGTACTTTTTTAATGTTTGAAGGCCTCTCAAGTCATTTTGATATTGTAACAGATTGGACATGCATCCAGAAAGAGGACTTTTTTATATGCTAATTATTTTTCCTTTGGAGAAGCATTCCAGCCAATCTGGAGCCTTCCTAGAAAGCTGTAACCAAGAAAGATATGATTTGCTCTTGAGTAGGGACCCCAGATTTTTTTGTGTTGGTGTTACATGTGTTCAAAGTATGAAGAAGGTTGAGAATCACTGTTAGGCTATGTCTTCACTACGTGGAAAGGTCGAATTAAGATACACAACTCCAACTACATTCATTATGTAGCTGGAGTCAATGTACTTTAAGTTGAGTTTCTGTGCAGTCTCCATAGTAGGAGGCTGGCAGGAGCAAATGCTCCTGTCAGCTTCCTTTACTCCTTGTGAGGAGCAGGAATACCGGCTCTACTGGGGCACTCTCTGAATTCGATTTAGTGGGTCTTTACTAGACCGGCTAAATGGAATTCTGGAAAATCGATCGCGACAGTGTCGCCTAGTGAAGACATGGCCCGAGAGTGAAATTTCCAGAGCAGATCTTTCCTGCTGCCAGTATTCTGCAAAAAGCATCCCTGCCTTTCATGATGGATTGTAGGCAGGCATTCTTTTATATAGGGAAATGTTCCAGTTAAAGGAATACGAAAATATCTTCTATTGTTTGAGTCCTGAAGATTTATAATTCTCTATATACCATACATAAAAATGTGAAGTCAACACTTAAGGTCTTACTGGCACAACAAGCCTTTCTTAAATTTAAGGTTGACCTTTTTTTTTTTTTTTTTTTTTAAATGAAAACTTAGCTTTTAATATACAAATAAATCTTTTGCTTTTTCTAATCCAGTGTAATCTAATTGCAGTTGATGAGTAAAGAATCTCCAGTCTCTGTTGGAAATGATGCTTACGTTGACCTTGATCGTCAGGTATCTAAGACCAGATGTTTCTTTTTCTTTAATCATAGGAAATCGGTGTGCAGTCAGTCTGGTATATAGTATGTTGTAAACAGGCTGCTTCATCATCATCATCTCCTCTTTTTTGAAAATCTTTTGGGACAATTCAAACAAAAGAACAGCACAAAGTTTAAATGTAATATTTGTTCTTTGTTTAAGCACCATTTTTTAAAAAAGAAAGTCAGTTAATCAAAAGTTGCAATTACATATCTTTATCGTGGCATATGTCCATCAGTGGTCTGTTGAAATAAATAAGTAAATAAAAGAACATTTGACCATATAATTCTGAATGTGATTGTTCACAGTGCACATTCAGAACAAAAATATTTCTTCGGAAAATTAGATTCATTGTAAGCATTATGAATATTTTGGAGCTATCCTGCTCAAAATTGACATTATTTCTGATATAGCAAAATGTGAAGACTTCACAAGTCACAGGGTAATCGTGAAGAAACTAAATATAATTAGTAACATTTATTAGCTGTAGACAAAACTTTTTTGTCCTGGCTTTAATGGTCTAGATCAGGCTCAAATAGCCTTACAGAAATTCTGGGAATTGTGAATTTCCCACCTTGAGAAATTTTGGGAAAATTCCAAAATAGCTGTAGTATTTGTGAAAAATGCTGAACCAAATGTTCATGGGTTATGTATGGATTTTGAGAGCATATTCTTTCTCTTATGTAGTGTTACTACAGCCTCAGCCACATCCCTAAAACAGTAGAGGTATAATCTTGAGAATGTTACCGTGTTTACTGAATTGTTATGTCATAGGTTATCTGTATGGCAGTACATACTGTATAAGAAAGTTATTTTTTGTATGTCAGCTGTTTCTTATAACTCTAAAAAATGAAAAGGATGTTCTTTTCTACAGTAGACTAGACTTTGGGAGAAGTAGGAGTCCCTAGTAAGGCTTCTAAGATTGCCTTGCATTTATACCAAAAATACACAGTATCTTTGTCTTTGCGTCTCAAACTTACTGTCTTTTCATTTACTTAATTTTACAATCCTAGAGGCACTTTTCAGCCAAAAATATTTCAATTGTTATGAAATCCTTAGTCATAACTAAATACATGCAAACATTGTGCATGTTAAATAATGTTATTCAGATTTAGATGTTTTCTCTACTTCAGCGATTTTCCCCTTTGTGCAGCAAAATTAGTACCCAGAGGCTAGACAGGTTTTACCTTAATTGTCTATTCCTTGTAATCCATTTCCCCATCCTTTGTGTATTTGCAAAAATAGCTAAAACTGAAACTATTCACTCTGCATCTGTAAAGAAAAGTGGTGTTGACAATTTTTTAAATGTACAGAGGTGGTATGCTTTCCAACATTCAGGTTGTGTGGGTTCTTGAGTGCAGCATGTAGAAAGAAAATGCTTGCCTTAATGCTTTGTTTAGAAACAAAGCATTACCTTCAGCTATGTTTATCTGTCTCACATGAATTATCTGAGCTTTTTAATGATAATAGGTGCCCCTTTGTCTTCTTATAAAAATAAAATAGTCAATAACTTTTTTCAAAATCAGCAGTATATTAGCATGTAAAACAGACTTTATAGTGGTGATCTAATTCAACATCCTTCATGGTTACAAAGGTTTAAAGGTATGATAGTGGTGTTATGAACATAAAAATGTTTTTATTGATTTTACATAGTTGAAGAAAACTACAGAAGAGTTAAATGAAGCCTTAGCAACAAAAGAAGAAATTGCTCAGAGGTGCCATGAATTAGATATGCAGGTAGGCATTTTATTATATGTGCTCAATAAACTTATGGAAATCATAGTGTGAAGCTGAGGAAAGGGTATGGTGATTTTAAGGCAGCAGAAGAAAAGAGGTAGTTCGGAGACTGGTCTTTTTTTAAAACCATACTCAGAAATTTTACTTCTTTAACTATACCAGTTTAGTTAAAATAGTACAATCCTTCTGAGTCTGACGGCTGTATAACGGTGTTTTATATTAGTATAGCCATTCTCCCAGAGGAAGGGAATCTGTGATACTGGTATTACTGTATCTGCATTAGGGGTTGTACAAGTATAACTATTTACTGGGGGAGAGGGGAAGTCATGTCCCTTTGCCAAAATAGTTACAACAATGCAAAACTTGTATGTGGACCACATCTTAGAGAGGTCACCTATTTTGAGTAGATTGATCAAACCTGGTCTGGAAGACATGAAGAAAATAAACCTGGTACTCAAAAATGCCATTTTATCAGTTGCATTTGAGAGTAGAGCTGTTCTTTAAGATTTTATTGTAAGATACTAGAATTTTGGTTTGGAAAGTAGATTAAGACTTTAATGCATTAAAGTCTGTTGTTTGATAACTGGCTAGATTGTGATTGGTTTTAGATGGCTCTGATCTATACAGTTAAAAACACTAATGTATATTTTTACAAATAAAAAGCTATGTTATGCCTTATTGTTGCATTGTCTTGGATTGCTAAGGCTAAGACACACCGATCACAAATAAGTTTACTAAGAATTCATGTATCCCTAGTTATGGATATTACTAGCTCCAACACTTGCACGCAAGTTTTTAAGTTGACAATTCCATTGTTCCATTTTTGCACATTGTAATAGGTGGCAGCACTTCAAGAGGAGAAAAGTAGTTTATTAGCTGAGAACCAGATCCTGATGGAACGTTTGAACCAGTCTGATTCGATAGAAGATCCCAACAGCCCTGCAGGACGTAGGCACCTGCAGCTTCAGACACAGTTAGAACAGCTCCAGGAGGAAACATTTAGGTAAAGAGCTCCATGATTGGTAAATTTCATTTTGAACTGACAGACACCTTATTAAAAGTTTCAGACTGCAGATTTTTTTAGCTAATAAACTTTTTGTTCCCCTTGGCAGTTATGATGAATTATTAGTGGGTGCCCATAAAGACCACTGTCATTAAGTTTACAAATGAGTTTCCATTAGGACCTGTCTAAAGCCCAGCCTTTATAAACATTTGCTTTTTTAGGCTGAAATTTCCCAGGCTTGCTCTCTGCCCAAAGTAGTAATTTAAAAATGTGCACATAATCCCTTCAGCCACCTTTTTAGCTCAGTGAGCATGAAATATATATACTTTCTTCTAACCACAGTTCTGGGACAAGGTTATCTCAAAGCCAAAAAATTCCCAGTTGGAGAACTTTAGTGTGGACGGAGTCCATAATAATACAATGTTTCCTCTTAAGTTTGAAAAAAAAAATTTACTCAGAGATAAGAGGTCCCCGGGAGAGCTCACTTGCGTTTGTACTTACTCCACTATCAGTTTGTTCTTTCCTGACTCAGCCCTGCTTTGTTGCTTACCAAATAATTCTTTCTCATCCCTTTTCTAGTTCTGTGCATCTGATACCTGGCGACTTTTCACCACGTTTTACTACAGGAGACCCCTCCTGCCCTGTCCCCTTCCTCTGTTTCTACCATCTCTGCTCAGTATTATACCACTTTCAATAAAGGGCAAAATTAACAACCCTCTCTCTTATTTTCTCTCTCGTGCCACTCCTGATCTCTCTTCCTTTGCCCCAGCTCTGATTTGGAAGTCTTTTTTCTATCGTTTTCTTACCTCAGAACCAGTGTCTGTGATCCAGTCTCTTCCCATTGCTTCATTTCTCTTAGCCACTGTCCCTGCTTTTGGCTCCTTTTCATCTGTGCTCCTTTTCCACTAGCCTGAACAGAATTTTCCATATCTTAATCTATTACCTCAATAGTGTCCTTTCCCCTCCTTAGATCTACACTGCGTATCATTAGCATATACATGTTCCTAGTGCTTTTTTTGTGTTTAAAAAAAAAAAAAAAGTGACGGTACTCAAGGGGAAAAGTTGTTGAGCTCTGACTGGAGGTACTGGTACTGCGTCTGGAGGTGCCGGTACTGTGTACCAGGCAGTACCATCACAAAAAAAGCACTTCATGTTCCTGTTAGTTAATCCTGTGACTCTCTTAAGTCTGGACATGACTGTCTATTCTGCTGAAATGTTATGTACCACATTCCCTAGTGACCACTTCCTGGTTACGTTGTTTAGCATCTTCTCTTTTTCTCTTTCAACTTCCTCACTTCCTTTGACATCATCAGTGCATCAGTTCATTCTCTTCTGCACACTTCTGCTCAGGTTTCTGTAGTCCGGCCCCTGTTAGTTCCCCTTTTAGCATATTGACCTGTTCTGAAAGAGTTTGTTTCCTGGGAGCTGTTCCTTTGACGCAAGTCCAGTTATCCTCCAGGACTCTGCCCTTAGTGTCCCCTTACACCACTCTCTACATTATCTCTTTCAAATCTAATTCTCATGCCTGCGTGACACATCATTACTTCAAACTCCAGTAGACCAGATTAAAGTGGGTACAACCTAACTGGTACCTGGTGTACCCAGGTTGAATTCATGGTATCCTGTCTAAATTTGTTCTCTTCCCACCCAAAATGCCGCCTCCTCTTGTCCATGACATCATCTGCTTTCTTGGTCTATCAGCCCTGTAACCTTTATGTTGTTGATTTTTTTTTCTCTTGCCGCTTCCACTGACTGTCTTGTCTCAGATCTTGTAATCCTTTTCTTGTTGATGTCTTTACATTAACTGCTGCTGTGACTCTCTCTCCTGCCCATCCCTTCTTAGCTCCCTTTACTGGCTTTCATTCTCCGTTTATAGCAAATCCATGCTCTTCTTCCTCACTTCCAAGATTCTGCATAGCTTTGCCTTGCCTTTGTCGTATCACTCTCCCCATACAGGATGCTTCTCCAAAATATCTCTTGAGTATTCCCTGATGGGGAATTCCATCCCTGCTTTCACATCGCCTTCTGTACTTGGTACAGCTTCTGTCACTATTTATCATGTGTTGGAATTATTAATATTTGAAATTATTAATAGTAATATGGGAAACCACCAAACACTAATTGAACCATAAATTCCCATATTACATCCAAAGGCCAAATGGTATTTATATGATTGCTTCTAAACATGCCTAAAAAGCCTAAATAATAAACAATTTGCTACATCCAAACAGTAACAAACTTTATAAACATTTGATCAGGATACTTACAAATGAGCTAAAGTGCTTAGGCCCATATGGGTCAGTTCCAACATGGTCAGGCAGATATAAGCAATGACTCTTTTAAGAGTAACTTTATACCCTTTAACAAACCAGCAGTGTCACTGCCATTACTGACTTCAGCATAATAACTAGATTGAGAGAGTTCACCCTCATTTCCAGTCTTCATCCAGATAAGATTTACCTCTTCCTTTCTACCCAAGACTTTTCCTCCCCTTCATCTTGCTGTCCAACGGTTTTCCTGTTGCACCTGGGTTCACCTAGGCTTTACCAGCGCTGTGCGGGTTGGAGAAGGGCCGTGTCTCATTTGAAGTCAGATTCCCTTTGTTTTATTTAAACCTATGTGTAATCACCCCTATTGGTCAGGGGCCTTTTTCAGAAACTTCCTTTTATCTCATTAGCTTTTCCTTAAACCAGATGCCCTCCCTGCTTATTCCTTCTGACTTATAACTTAATTTCAAGGCCTTCCTTCTTTTTCCCTCTCAGGGCCTTTCTTTACAGCACATTTTTCTTAACCAGATTTAAGATAACTCTAATTCTTTTATTTTTTATTTATCCTACACTGTGCAACCTCTGTCTCTTGCAGAAACCTGAGCAAACATCTTTTACATTAAATATTGAAAGTATTCGTGAGTAGATCTTGCTTCTGTTGTATTGCATGATATTTTCTTAGGGCCAAGGCTCTGTTAGTTGTTCTGCACATTTTGTATGTTGGCCAACATGGGATTTTTTGGAGGTGCTGAACATCCACAGCTTCCATTAAAGACAGCTGGTCGCTTATCTGGCTGCCCAAATATGAATAGACTATATTGTTTAAGGCACCTGCATTTGGAAAATGTTGACCATTGTACACAATCCTGCTTACACTGGAGTAAAAGAAGGGTTAAGGCAAGAATTTTTCTGCTCCAGAAAAGATAATATTTTTGTGTTGCAGCGATTCCCAGAAGAGCGTTTTAGCAAAGATTTTCAGTAGCACAGTAAAAGCCTTAGGATTTCTCTTCCTTTAAAAAAAAACTATGATGGAAAGCACACATCTCCTTGTTACATTGCCATGCATAGTCAATGATGACATTGACTTGCAAGCAATTTTACCCATTAAGCTGGAGCTATTGCCACATCCTTAAAAATGTAAGAGAAACTGGCAGCATGATGTTGTACATTGGCTTTCCCCTTTCTTACCTACTGGTGTATTTCGATTCTGTAGGCTAGAGGCAGCCAAAGATGATTATCGAATACGTTGTGAAGAGCTTGAAAAAGAAATTGCAGAATTGCGACAGCAAAATGAAGAGCTAACCACTTTAGCAGAAGAGGCTCAGTCTTTGAAGGATGAGATGGATGTACTCAGGTAAACTACGTTATTGCAACCATTACTGTGTCTGGGAACTATTTCTGTATTGAGTTTAACACTAAAGAGACTTCAGAGCACATACTGTGTTCGCATTGTGACTATAATTCTATAGTGTTTGTATTATCGTAGTCCTAGAAGTTCTGGCCATGGACCAGGCACTGTACAAAGAAGAAAAAGATGGTCATGCTCCAAAGTTTTCAATCTGAATACATTTGACGCAGCTTCTCCATCTTTATAATCATCCAGGCATTCCTCTGATAAAGTGGCCAAGTTAGAAAGCCAGGTAGAGTCGTACAAAAAGAAGCTTGAAGATCTTGGCGATCTGCGGCGGCAAGTGAAACTCTTAGAGGAGAAGAATACTATGTACATGCAAAACACTGTAAGCTTGGAGGAAGAATTAAGGAAAGCCAATGCAGCGCGTAGCCAGCTGGAAACATACAAGAGACAGGTGAGAACAGACTCAGATATTGCAATTAATTTGTTGATTTCTTAGCCTTTTCTGTGAATGGTAATTTGGGTAGTACTTCAAAAACTTGTTTATGAGTTCATTAAAGAACGTGTTCATCATCTGCATAAAGGATCTTCTCTATTGTAAATATCCCTCTTCCCTAGTTCACATAACTCATTATATAGTGCTGGTATCGTTTCACTAACCCAGTAGGAAAAAAGTCAACAAGAGCGCACTCTCTCTTGAATAAACAAAATAGATTTTTAAGGTCAAAAGGAATCACTGTGATCATTTGTAGAGCAAAGAATCTACCTGAGTTAATACCTGTTTCAAGTCCAATAGTTGTGGTTCAACTGGAGCAAATCTTGTAGCAAAATATCTAGGCTTGCTTAAAAATGTTCTGTTGTTGGGGAATCCGTCATAACCCCCCATAAATTGGTCCAGTAAAATGTGCACCTTATTTCTAATCTAAATTTATCGAGCTTCAACTTCAAAATGTTGGCTCTTGTTATACTTTTGCCTACCAAAAATCAGATATCCTGTTGTTAAATTTCTTTCTCACATGTTGGTATTTGTAGACAGTGCTTAAGTCCTCCTTTAAGCTTATCTTTGAAAAGGTAGGTAGATTAAAGGAGCTTGATCTCTCTCTAAGACACGTTTCCCAACCCTTTCATCATTCTCATGGCTCTCTGAAGCCTCCAGTTCTTTAACCGCATTGTTGAAGTGCAGACACCAGAGCTGAACACAGTATTCCAGTAGCAGTTGCACCAGTTTGTGCTCTGCTCAGACTCCATCTCTTGTCCTGCCAGTTCTGAGGTGTGTAGGCTACCCTGGGGAGAGAGCCCTACCTCAGCCCTCCCTCACTGCCGCAGCAAGGGGCCGGGTGAGAAGCGCCTTTCCATGACTGCTGCAGCTGCAGTGGGTATAGCCATGGGAAGGGGTGAATGTCCCAGTTCATTTGCTCCCTGAACTCCCAAGCCAGACTGAGGAGTGCAGCTAACTGGGTACTTTTCCCTTGCTCCCTGATGAGGGGAAACAGCCAGCAATGTTCCTGTACAAACTGGGGGAGGGGGAAGCTTCAGCCACCCTGCCCTCGCTAAAGGGCACCTGGTAGAGGCTCAGGGCTAGGACAGTCCCAAGCATGCCCCTTTCACCTGCCTGGTGATTGTCTCTTTTCCATATAATTTTATGAGAAGCAATCCCATTCCAAGCACATCCTATTGTCCTGGCACAACCAAACCCTGACCTTGCTTTAAGTTATGATAAGAGGAAACCATAGAGCAAATTTAGTGATCCTAGTTCTTACCATTTAGGAGGAGTTCTTGATCAAACAGACAGAAAAACTCTCTCAAATATATAGTAGATTATTGATTCCATTCTTCGATCTGAGCCTTTGTTAGTGGGGGCATAAAACTTTGAGTGAGCAGCTTTTTTGCTAATTGTTTTTCATGACGTGTGTGTCCACTAATCTATTCAGAAAGCTTTATCCATTTTCATCCCTCTTCTTGTTGCGAATAGCTTGTCATTGATCTTCTGCATGGCAGTCGCCACAGGAATGTTGACTGGATCTGGATAGCTTGATTACTTCCTCTTATTAAATATTCAAAAATACTTTAGTTCCTGTGGGTTTGGTTATCATTCCTTAGTCTGTAACTTTAAAAACAACGAGTAGTGCTGGGGTACCTGTGTATCATGAGTTTTCGTGGATAAAACCCACTTCCTCAGATGAGATGATCTTGAATCTCCAGATCATCTCATCTAAAGAAGTGGACTCTGCCCATGAAAGCTCCTGATACTAATCTATATAGTTTTAAAGCCTTCAGGGGGGTAGCCGAGTTAGTCTGTACAGTGCTACCATACTATTTGTTGTTTTCTATATATTTTTGTTAGTGTCTAAGGTGCCACAGGACTACTCATGATGAAACAGATTTATAAATAAAAAAATACCTGTTCACATAAGCTTGGGCTTGACTTCTCAAAGTGATGCTTAGAAAACAGAGACAGGAGACGTAGGAGAATGCACCTTTGATTTTTCTCTGTGGGTTTTACACACACACACACACACAAACACACACACACACACACACACACACACACACACACACACACACACACTCTTCCCCACGCTTGAGGAAGGAAGAGGGCCATTACCCATTTCCTCATCTCTCTGATCCATTAAATTCTACAGTTCTGGTGATTCATTTGTTATGTAGAAATTTTAATTTTCACTTTCAGGTGTAAGTAGCTGCATAGTTGGTAAACTGAGAACAGCTGGCTAATCCTTTCAGTGATATTGATGATTGAAACAATAGGTGAACAAAGCATTTAGCATGTGCTGGAGATGAATTTTCCATTGATTTTAACACTCGTCTCATATTGCAAGATAATTAATTACTTTATTTCATGCATATTTGTTTCATCATTGATAGACAAATACATTCTTCTTTGTCTTGCAGGTAGTTGAATTACAAAATAGATTATCTGAAGAATCAAAGAAAGCAGATAAATTAGAATTTGAATACAAGTTGCTGAAAGAAAAAGTAGACAGCCTCCAGAAAGAAAAAGATGTAAGTGTTTAAATGTTGCTTTTTTTTTTTTCTGGTGGTGGAAAGAAATTTATATCATTATTACCCTGGATATGCTATCCAAATTATCTGTTTAGCCAAGTTATATTTCTTAGTTTACATTAAATTGTCTTGCCTAGGTAAATATTGTGTAAATGTAATAATTATGGAATTTGATAAACCAATATTCTGATTTTAAGGTAGCTATGAAAATGTGTACAGTCGATTTTAAAAATGAAGAGCCAGTATCTCTCCGCTTCTCACTATCCTTTCCTACTTCCCTTTCCGTATTGTGTTTATCTAATCTCCTACATAGATCCCTCGTGGGAACAGTGTCACAAATTTTTCATTTGAACAGACAGTAGAGGAAGATTCCGAAATCTCAAATATCATTGTAAAGTGTATTTAATTTTCAATGGGTTTCAAACTTCTAGAATATACCTCTGGAGTTAAACTCAGAAGTGTTCTTTTAAAGTAAAAAATATTCAACAGAGCTTCTATATAGTCCCATTTGTGGGATCAAAGTGCATGTGCTGTGAACTTCTGCAATCTTTTGGAAAGCAGTCTCAATTGGAGCCACTCATTAGAGGACATAAAAAGAGTAGAGGCCCTAACTGACCTCAGAAGGTGTGACAGAGAACTGCTTGCCAAAGTAGCCAAGACCCCCAAATGCACCAGGCATGGTGGAGTTTATTGATCAAGATCAGTTGCGAAGAGCTGCTCGCCAACATTAACTCTGTACATGGATGGAGGTTGAAGACTCTGCTGGATTTCTTTGTGACTTGACTCACATTCTAGTTCTCCGGAGATAGACTGCAGCTTGGATTTTTATCCTAGACCATCCTCTAGTCCACCCGTTGTCCTGGCTCCAAGGACATACTGGTACAACTAGCTTCAACAGCTAATCCAGGAGGGAGATTTCTTGTGTGACTCTGGTATGGAGTGGGGGCAGCTATCCAGGGCTGTCAATGTCAGAGTCCACAGTTCTGGAGTATGGGGTCACCAGTGCTATCTCTGTTGTAGTGATATCTGTTTTGCTGCCAGAGGCACCAAATAGCTCCCATCCTGTGATCTAATTGACCATTTGGGCCTTGGTAACCCCAGCTTTAATTTCTTCCCACATGGAGGTGGCAGACAGTCGGTACTGGGTCCCTGAGAAACACATTGGTATTTTTAAACTCATCTAACTCTAGGCTGTCAGGTATTGACGCTGGCCAATGGGAAATTGTGCTGGAGGGTCTTGTGCTGTGTCTTGGCAAGGAAAATCCGTGTTTTTAAAATGTGTTCACTGACCCAGTTAGTCTGATGTTTTTAAATATCACTTATCACTTGGAGGAGACAGGGCTTAATACTTTCAAAAACATGTTAGGCGACTGATGGGTCTTAGGCCACTGTTAAATAAAATGTCACCCTGGGCGTTGCTGCTCCCTGATCGTGAAGCCTAGGCTAGGGAGCGGGCCGCATGCGTGGCCTCCTTCATCTCAGTGGGTGGCAAGATTGTTGGAACCCAGATGGTCTCCCAGCTAGGGTAGTTTTGCTTATGGCGCTTGCGTACCTAAAATTTGCAGGCTGTGCTGATTGAGCCGTAGTAGCGATGCAGACTCTCACACTGCTGTGTGCACACACCTCACTTCACATGCCCTTGCTTTACGTAGTACAGGTAGGGAAAAAATTACACAGATAAAAACCAGCAGAATCTGGCAACCCAGTGCATGGACAACAGTAAACAAAATGATTCGTGGGCCACGCGTTGATAGGCTGCATGCGGCCTTTGGGCCTACCACCAATCTAAACAGTCTCCTGATGTTGCAGATTTGAGCAACCGATGAGAAACACGCAGAGGAACAGACACTACCCTTGCCCTGTGTGATGATTTTATCTTCCGGTCAGCATTATTTCAGTCTGACCTGGATTGAGCTGCAAGCAGCAAGTTTTCGTCCGTGTTTCGATCTCAACCGAATGCTCATCTAAAGATCAATGCCACTAGCTTTCCTAGGGGTAATGCTGCTCACTAATCTTCCACCACTGGAAGGATGCAGAGGCCCTTGAAGTGGAAAGAGAAGATATTTAGCAGTAGTAGTTTTGCTCTGTGTATTCACATTCCTTACCTGCCTTCCTGACTGTGTTGACCCACTACCTTTTGATAGCTGGAAAGCCTGCACAAGGAGAGAGGAAGGACAGTGTGAGTGGCCCTGATGGGGATAGTGCTCTCCTTTAATTTCGGGAAGTTCATGGCACAGATGTCTTGTCCCCACAAGTGTTGATATTCAGAGACAGGATTCACACAGAGCCACAATTATTAGTGAGTAGCGGCTCCTTTCTTAAAATTCTGTCTGTGGAATGAACTGGGATTCCTTGCTAGGCAGGTCTAGCAGTGCACATTAAACCTCTTCGTTTGTTAAAGGGTGGACAACACTATTCATAGTGGCAACGTGCCTAGAATTAAAAGTTGGATTTGTAGAGCAGAGATTAATATTTATTATCCTTCCAATCGTATAGAGATTAAGAACAGAAAGAGATTCCCTAAAAGAAACTATTGAAGAGCTTCGATGCGTACAAGCACAAGAAGGGCAGCTCACCACGTCAGGTAATGGGGAGAGAGAAACCTAAGTTACGTTTTTCTAAAGAATGTCCCCGGAGGTTTCATAGGTCAGCTTAGACAGGTTTGCCTTTGTTTTATTGTTGACTGATGTAATATCCACTACATTTTGAGATTGTAAAACCTTTTCTGCTGTTGTCACATTTTGGCTAGGTCTAGATTACATCCCTCTTTCGAAAGAGGGATGTAAATTAGACAGATCGAAATTGCAAATGTAGCCAGGATTGGAATGTACCGCACTTCATTTGCATTATAGAATCTGTGCGTTCTTTCGAAAATGGGTATTTTGAAAGTGAAACTGCCATCTAGATGCAGTTCTTTAGGGGGAAAAAAACCTCTTTTTTCGAAAGATCCTGTAAACCTCTTTTGAAAGAGGAATGTAATTTAGACATGCCCTTTTAGATGTTCAGAACTTTGTGAAGCTGTCAACTTTTGGCTGAAATGTTCCATGCTTGGTTTCTTCCAAAATGTGATATTTAAAAAAAAGTTTTTAATGGTTTGATTTTGAAGTAAGGACAGTAAGAAGCCAACTCACTTAACTCCCTCATCTCCAGAAAAATTAGAATTATTGACCTAATATAGTTTTCTTAAACTTATCTGGTGCAAATAGTACATATATATTTATTTATATTCCACATGCCATAGTGCACAAATATTAATATTTTCACATAAACCAAGGAATAAACCAAAGCTTATAAAAATTCTTTGTCCAAAATGGAGGAATATAGGAACAGAAAACCTGTCCAGAAATTGAGTTATGTTCATCTTTCCTTCCTATTATAGCATAACTACTCTGTATTATTTCTCATATTTGTAGAAGGAGCATATAGTTTTAAATGTTCTCTTAAAATGTAATCCTGTTGAATAACACTTACCCATGGCCTTTTGGAACAATAATTGTACTTTCTTTTCTTTTTGGCTGAAACAGGATTGATGCCGCTGGGAAGCCAGGAGTCTTCAGACAGTCTAGCAGCAGAAATCGTTACTCCTGAAATCAAGTAAGTTAAAACATCCTTATTGTCTCCATAGACCTTATGGTGTGTACCCACACAATTAGCTTTTTCAATATTCTGAAGTTTATCACTAAGATTCGCACTATAGGTTGAACCTCTCTAGTCTGGCACTCTCTGGTCTGGCAACATCTGTGGTCCAGCATGATTTTAGTTAGCCGGATGTCCACTTATCATGGGTGTGGCCAAGTTTCCCGCGGTCCCATAAAATTTATTTACAGCCATCAGTCCTAGCTCCAAGTGTTCTTCAGATGCCTCTTGCACTTTACAGTGGGTCCCAACCACTACCACCTTGCGGTCCTCCCATTCAGCTTGGCAACTGCACCGAGTGCATGTAAAGTTTTGTAGTAATATATAGGCTTGTTCCATGAGCATGGAACTGTGTAATAAGGTACTCAAGGAATGCCAACTATCTTATTTCTTTTGCATGTATTCTTTGTCTTAAAGCTGCATTTGTGATTGTGATATATCTGCTGACGAATAGTGAATCAAATCCCAATCAGTTGTTTTCTGCAAATGTCCTAATCTCCATCTAATTCATCAGGTTCCAAACAGATTCAGTAATCCTATTATGTGTTACTATTTTGGTGGTTCAAGTGAAGTAACTGTTATTTCATCTCTAACCATCTCTAAAACTAGTGAAGAGAAAATTGTCTGTCTGTGTTAGTCACACTTCCTATGATTTGCACGTTGTAGCAGTCTATAAGATTTTTATAACTGTTTTTATTTTGTGTTTCCAGGGAGAAACTCATCCGTCTTCAGCACGAGAACAAAATGCTGAAGCTTAACCAAGAAGGTTCCGACAATGAAAAGATTGCTTTGTTACAGAGCCTACTAGATGATGCAAATCTACGGAAGAATGAACTGGAGTCAGAGAACAGGTAGGCTTTTCTAATGGCTGTTTCTTCTGAGAATGCTTGCTCATGTTGATTACATTCTAGGGCTGTGTGCACCCATGTGCAGTCAGAGTTTTTTGCCTTAGTGGTATCCATAGGGTTGGCTGTGGTGCCCCTTTGAATGCACTGGTATTCAAGTCCCTACTGCCAGCTGTATACCCTCTTAGTTCCTTCTTTCCACCTGTGAAGGTTGGTCACAGCACCATGTCTTGCAATTACATGATTAGTTTCTCAGCAGCCCATTGTCTGTCTGTCTTTGTATACAGCTTAGGAACTTGTTTTTTAAGTGACGTGTTAGATAGTTAGAGTTCTGGCTGGGACTTCATCCCGGAGCAGGGTATGCCCTGCTCTCCCGGCTTCAAACCGTGTTCGTCATGCCATGGGCCGATGCCGATTAGTGTGCTCCACAGCCATTGTCTGAAGTGTTTGGGGAAACCCATCACAAGGTCAAGCGCAGAATCTGAGAACGTCCACCCTTCAATCCAGAAGGAGTGGGCTGTCCGCTGAGGGACCCCCTTATGGAGGCTGTACTTTGTCCACTGGAGCCCTCCCTCTCGGCTCCCACACCGAGTGCTGTTCATTCACAGGATCCTCACGAAGATGGAGCAGGACAGGGCGAAGGTGATCCTCATAGCATCAGCTTGGAGTGGTTTGGCACGCTGCGGGACCTCTTGGTGGCTGCTCAGTTACAACTACCACGTAGGCTGGCCTAGAACCATGACAGTCTTCTGCATCTAAACCTGGCGGCCTGCGCCTGATGACTTTGCTGCTGCATGGTTAAATGCAGAGGGGCAGGAATGTTTGACTGATGTCCAGCAAGTACTGTTGCTTAGCCAAAAGCCCTCCACCAGGGCAACCTACCTGGCCACATGGAAGCGGTTTGTTGTTTGCACCTTGCATAAAAGCACTCAACCTGAACGGGCCTCACTGCAGTTAATCCTGGGCTACCTTCTGCATCGCAAGCTCCAAGGCCTTTCCCTTTCATCTATCAAGGTCCACTTGATGGCTATCTCAGCCTTCTATCTGCTGCTCGAGGGTAGGCCCGTTTTCACCCAGGACATGACGGTCAGGTTCCTAGAGGGCCTCCAGTACCTCTACCCTCCCATCATCAGGGACCCTGTCCTTCTGTGGGACCTGAATCGTGTGCTGCTGCAGCTCACGGGATCTCCCTTTTGAGCATCTGACTTCCTATTGTCTCCTTCTCCTTTCCTGGCAGGTTGCATATGTGGTTGCAATAACATCTGCTCACTAGATCGCTGAGATTAGGGTGCTTATCTTGGAACTATGTGGTGTCCTGTACTAGGTGGTGTCTCAGTTTCATATGGGCCAGGACATTTACTTACCTCTTTTCCAAAGCCGCATAAGTTGGAGGAGGAGGAAGGTAGGTTACACTCCCTAGATGTCAGGAGCGTGCTTGCTTTTTGCACTGACAGGACCAAGCCAATTCTGCATGTCGATGCAGTTGTTCATCAGCATAGCCGTCAGGATGAAAAGTCATCGTTCACTGTCTACTCAAAGAATTTCTTCTTGGATCACTGCCTTCATTCACTGCTGCTACAGTCGGGCACATGTACCCGCTCCAGAATTGTCACCTCTCACTCAGCCAGGACGCAGGCCTCTTAAGCCTCTTTCCTAGCACAAGTGCCTAACCAGGATAACTATAGGGTGGCCACCACTTTGACATTCCATTACACACTTACCCAGGAGATCCAGGGACAATACTGGCTTTGGTAAGAGCAGCATTGCAAGCTGCTAAACTGTGAACTGCGAGCCCACCTCTGTTGATACTGCTTGGGAGTCCCCTAGAATGGACTCAACATGCGCGAGCACACAAAAAAATAAAACCAGTTGCCTGCCTTTCATCGTTCCTCGAGATGTGTTGCTCATGTCTGTTCCTTTACCCAGCCTCCTCCCTTCTGTCGGAGTTGCTGGCAAGAAGGAACTGAGACGATGAAGGGTCATCGGCGCATGGGCACAGCCAACCGTAAAGATACCACTAAGGGAAAAATCTCCAGTGGGCATGTGCACACTTAGAATGGAAGGAATGTGCACAACACATCTTTCAGAACAGATTGTTTTCTGGTAATTTTGTGGTCAAATACTGTTCTACGAACAGGCTATGCTCAGGACTGTGTACTAATGTCTTGCCCTCAACTTCAATAAAGCTGCTTCTAAGACTGTGTCCCAGTTTTGTGCTCAGTGATCACCAGGGTTCATTGATGAAGTAAAGGCTAGAGTGCCTGATGGTTGGAGACTGATGTGGAGTCAAACTGATCCTGACACATGCTGTCGCTATGTAGGAGGTAAAGAGGGGCTGTGAAATCTGACAGTGGAACGGTTCTGAGCTGTTGATAGCTTGGTAAATGCTAGTGATCTCCAGTTAGCAACACAGTCATGTTTTCCTCGCTGTGGGAGAATTTTCATTTTACTTTGAGGCTAAAATCATTGGACTCCAACCTGATATACTTACTTGACTGGAAACAGAACACTATCTCAAGGGGCAAATGCTCGATTTTCTTTGCCTGAGTCTTCACCCATGTTCCATATTCAGGGTTTATAAAGGCTGGTTAGCTTTGGGCTACAGCCCGAGAGAGAGACCCATGTCCCTATCCAATTAGGGCTCATCTAGACAACGGGGAATGATTGAAAGAAAAGCTCATCTGGACTACAGGGAACGGTCTTTTTTGAGGAAGAGTGGCTTTTCGCTAAAGGGGGGGGATTTGCCAAAAAAGCCGCGTCTTAACTACTTTCATTTTCGAAAGCTCTGCTTTCAAAAGTGTGATTGGAAGAAGATATGCAAATTCCATGGAATTTGCATATCTTCTTTTGACCGTTCCCCATAGTCTAGATGAGCCCTTAGTGAGGGTCAATGTTTTTGGGAATTAGACTGGATCCATTGTTGGTAGAGATCCGTCTTTGTTTCCTTGCTGAGGGCTATCATTAAGTCTCTGCTCAAGAAACCAGTCTTGATTATGACAATGTGCTAGCAATTGACCAGTTATGCCATCTGCCTTTGTAAGTCTTGTCATAGCAGAGCTAGTTCCATTTGGAGAGTCTTTATGTAGAAAATGCTCTACCTTAGGGTTCATCCCCATAAGCTACAAAGAGCTTGTAGGATACATGGTACGGTTTAATTTTGTCCAGAACATGAGACCCCTTTTGACATGTAAGTTATGCAGTCATTGCTGATCCACAAGGCTTCACAGTATTTTACAGAAAAGCGAACAGTTTTAGTTACTCCGTGATTTTTTTAAACTATTACTCATAATCATGAGTTAACGTGAAGTTACCAAATATATTGCATAATTGTTAAATGGGTAGAACTATTTTAGTTTTCTAGGGCATTTTCTCGTTTAAAGACATAGTAAGCTTAAAACTACTTATTTTTAAATGTGTCCTTTTCGGGGAATGGAAAAGAAGGCAAGTCATCACTGTGTGGGCTCATAAGAGAACAAACTGGTATCTGTGACCCACTAATAATGAGTTATAGCTTCCCAGGATGTCCAGCAGGAAAGAAACTCATATGAGGCATAGCCCCACCTGAAGTATTCATGGACAGAGATGCTGTTCTCAAACTGGAGTACATGTATCTCTGTGGGTATGCACATGTCTTCTAAGGGGGACTCCGCTCATCAAAATCAGAGTTTTTCAATCTGGGGTTTGCAGGAAGGGTTTCAGATGGTCACAAGTGCAGGTCTGGCATTATGGAGTAGCAAGCAAGGCAATTTTTGGGGACATCACAAGGGGTCCTGCGAAGCTAAGTGAAATGCATCAGCCTCAGGCAGAGGGACTTGGGTTTCAAACAAGGTTCACAAGAGAAAAACAGGCTCAGGTGTTACATACCAGTTGATGCATTTTTACAATAATTATAGAGCACCTATTTCTCATTTTTACCATAAAAGTTGTGACGCTTCTGTATGCTTATGTCTGATTTTATAAAAAAATTTTAAGTGAAGTGAAACTTGGGGTCCACAAGACAAATCAGATTCTTGAAAGTGGTACAGTAGCCTGGAAAAGTTCAGAACCACTGCTGCAGGGAACGGCAGAAGAGTAAGGCCATAATCTCTCTCAAGGCTGTTGTAGACTTTGAATAAATTAATGTAGCTTTGCATCTCTTGCGTGAGTGGGCCAGTATGGGTGGGCACAAATGTGTCTCCCCAGGGGCTTTGAAATGTATTGAACTGTCAGTGTATTTAAAATTAAGTAAACTCTCTGAAAAGTAAGCTCTAAAAGAGAAATGAAAATCGCAGATTTAATTATTCACTCCCTTAGAAAAATAACATTTGTTTCTGCTTTCTAGGCTTGTAAATCAGAGGCTTCTGGAGGTGCAGTCACAGGTTGAAGAATTGCAGAAATCTTTGCAGGAGCAAGGTTCAAAAGCTGAAGATGTAAGTAGAAGTGTACATCATACTTACATTCAAGTACCCATAGTCACACTTTTTATGAGATACCAGCTACTTATTAGATTATGAAGAAATAGTCCAGATGCAGGTTTCTGGCAGCTTTTCATTCTCCCGAATTTAGATTTCAACAACGTGGCCTAAAATTAAACTATGCCTACCTCTTGTAAAATGAGACTCTACCTTCCCTTCCCTGTCTTATCATCTTCAATGCCTCTGCTGCTTTGGTAAATTCAGCATTAATTTCAGTTCTGTTTGTACTGTGTCGATTAGTGAGAGTTAGAACATCAAGGCCACGCTGTGCAAATTTACCATTCCCTGTACCAGTTAGTAAAATATACCATGTTTTTTGTTTGTTTTTATATTATTTTCCTGAAGCAAAGTCCTTCCTTCCCAAAGTAAGGTGAGGAATTGCTGGGATTAATGTATCAGCAATAGTACAAAGTAGGAGTGAGATTTTACATATGCCAGGGACACACAATTCAAACGATCAACCCTGTTACTCCTGCAGTAGTGTCGCTTCATGCATGCATTGATAACTTTACTGTCTCTGAAGCTTCAGGGGGTAGCCAAGTTAGTCTGTACAGTTTACTGTCTTTGTAATGCAGCGTGGGGCAAAGATACAGTTGCTGCGGAGCCATAACTTAAAGTTCTGCACTGAAATTTGTTTTAGCAAATCCCTACTTTTGAGAGCACATGCTGTAAAAACCACAAGCTCCAGAGCTGCCTGCAAAGCAGTAACCTTTGGGATTGCGTGTGTGCTGTCTTGCCTATCTGAATGTATGTTACTTTCTAACCCATAGGCACAAGTCTTCAAGCTGTTGCTTTCTTTTTCACTTTGTTTTAAAGCAGATTTAGTTAAGCTAGTGCAAATTTGTATGTAGCTGCTTATTGTGCTTTGAATGTCTTATTTTAAATTAGCTTAATCTAGATTTTACCAGTTTAAACTATACCGAAATAAACCATACCTACCTATGCTTAGTTATAGGATTCATACAGAGGATAATTTTTAAAATAAGTAGTGAAGAATAGATAATTGATTTTGAAGGTAGGTCTCAGTTCAGCAATATCTGTGGGGGCCTCCCTTTGTGGGAGCTTTACCTCTAAAAGCCCGAACAATTGACTCAGGATCTGTTCATTGTGTGCTGAATGCTGAGAAAAATCTGACCCTATTCACAGTCTGGGTCTGTCTTAGAACTGTGCAGCATACAAAGAGCTCCAAGGAGCCCTGGGAAGTCAGAGCCTGAACTGGTCTCCACCCTTCCTCCTGCTGCCTATGTAACTCTAGCACTTGTTAGAGTGTCTGGACAGGTCCTTGATATTCTGATGACAATCATGGTGAAGGGAAAGATCATCCTCTATGTAAATAGGACTTTGTATGCAGCCACAACTGGTTTGACCCACCTGCTTCAAGAATGGGTGGCCATCTTTACCAAGTACCATTGTAATTTTCTGAACACAGGAGGCCTCCAACTTGCAACCACCCGAGTTCCAACCCTTTTCACTTACAACCATTTTTGTAAGTGCGGAAGGAGCCAAAACCTCCCTACTTACGTTCTCGGCCCGCATTTACAATGGCGCATGGCACCTTTCGTAAATGAGGGTTCGAGTTATGACACCCCCGACTTGCAGTGCTTCCCCTGGACCCAATCGTGTTGCAAGTCGCAGGCCTCCTGTATATTATTCTTCACACTCCCTTGGGGGTCTCAACTGCATCAAGGTTATCTAAAGCTTTGCAGCTCCTTCTGCACTCCTCAAGAATCACCAGAGAAATTGGATTTCCTAGGTAGTGTGAGACCTGATCATTCATTCACTTGGGCATAATGGGTAGAAACTATTAGGTAGTTGTGCTCAGCAACAACCTTTGTACCTCTGATAGCACTTAACTCCAACTTCGTGCTTTTCCTTGGATTCATACACTGGGGCATTATTGATATGTAAGTTGATGTTGCGGAGGTTGGACAGAAGGTTCACAATAGAATGTGGCGTATGTGTTGTGGGACTACATGTTGTAGGTGTATATGTATAGGTGTGTATGTATCTTTCATCACTCATTCACTGGCCCCGTTCTTGAATGTATGTGTTGGGGGCTAAGGTGTGTATGTTAAAGGATACTTGGACAATACCATACTTTTAAGAATTTGTGTAGGTGGGTTTTTGCCTTACGTAACCCTGCGTGTTGAACAGCATTTTTTTCTTAGTGAAAATTGGGTCAAATCCTGGTCCACTAAAATTAGCAGCAAAACTCTCTTTTGCTTCAGTCTGAGACCCGCATTTTGTTCTATCTGGGCAACAAGTGCACCAAAAAATTGCTTGAACCAAAGATTAGAGAGTATACACAAACTTCATGTGCATCTCCAATTTTGCTTGCTAGCTTCAAACGTAATATACTTACATTTTTGTGACAGTAAATTATTATAATGGTATTCTAAAAACGTGTAGTCAAATGCACTTATGTAGGATTGTCATAGTTCAAGGCAGCTGCACCCGTATTCTCCTCTGTGGTTCCTCAAGGCCATCCACTAGACTACCAGCTCTTCAGCTGTCAACTCTGTTGGGGAGAGACCTGCTTGTATCTCACTCCTGACGAGGGGCTTTCCCAGGCTTCCCAGAACCCTCACTACACTGATATTCTCAGAAAGCCAGACCAATCTATAAACAGACCAGCATCTCTGCTTTGTTTTCTCTCTCGAGGCTTATGAGTAGCATAATTTCCAGCAGTTATAAATCACCCCACAGCCCTTTATAAGCAAGCACATTTATTCTTAAGGTTAAAGCATTACAGAGAAAGTATATGAAAGCTAAAGTTTCTATATGCCTGCTAAAAGCTTATCTGATGTCACCCGTCAGTTTTGCAAGGCCTCAGTAGACCAAAGTCCTCCCAGCCCTTCCCATGAAGCCCTGCCCTCGCCTTGGACAAAGTCCATCCATTTACCGGATCAGAAAGAAGGCCCTCGAGTCTCTTTAAATTCAGAAGTTTACCCAAAAGTCACTTTTGTCTGTTGGCCCCGGGATAATCCAGTTTGAACTAGTATGGGCAAGCCCCCAACAGTCTAGTATTTCTCTGGAGGCGTTACAACCTGAGTGAATTTGCCTAATCGTATTCTGCTGTCTTTAATTCCCTGCAGAAATTGTGCTCAACCTCCCCCAGGGAATTACATGCAGATTGTGACCAGTGGTACATAAACGTATTACAGTATGCTCTCCCAATGATATTGCAGGAAGTTCCCATTTCTGCCACATCATTCAACAGCTTTTTTTTTTAACTTCACCTTTTATAAAGTACAAAGTGTATTTTATTGTACTTTTAGCAGTAAACATATAAAGCTTTATTTGGCTATTTAATTAAAGTTTCAAGCAGTGTGTGTTGGCGAAAATCCTTATGTTAGAAGCTCTGTAAATGATTATCCAGTTTAATTCATTTTTATTTAATATAATTTTAAATCTTCTCTCCTTTTGGGGGCGGCTTTAGTCTAGACAGTGATTTAGAATGCAGGCTGTGAAAACTGCATTTTCTTAAGTGACAAATCATCGTTTGCAGCGCTTCCTATTCATGGCTTACTTTAATAGCTTTTGAGTCTAGACTGGCGCTAAACAACGAGAGGAGATGGCTTTTCTTACAAGAAAAATGTTCCTTCAATAACCTGAAAAGGGGGCAATGAGAAGGTCTAATAATAATTGCTGCACAAATCGTGTGAATTATTTTCATGTGTTTGTGTGGCAAGATTGCAACAGATTTGATTTTTTGCCACTTTTCTGCAAGTTTTGAAATATTAATTTCTTGTACAGTTATATTGCAAGTACAACTAATCTGGAAAATTGGAAGATCAATATTATATTCCATCTGGAAATGTTTTTAGTTGCTGTTGTAAGTTAAAGTAGTTCCATTGCCTGTCCCATAGAGCCTTAAAATATTGCTTATTTCTGAAGTCAGGCGATTCTGCATACCGAAGTACATATGCTCCTAACATGTGATCCAGATATAGTTCTGTTTTGAGGGTGCAGGACAAAAACAGAATTACCTGGGAATTGTTTTCCTTTGTTTCTTTATACAGGTAAGAAATCACTGACAAGACAGTTTTTCTTTCACTAATTTCTTTTGAGGTAGATATAAATTAGTTAATTAAAAAAAATACCTCCTGAATATTTTTGCCAGGGTTAGGTGGGGGTTTTTGGTGATAATTGTATGCAGGTGTTTGAACTATAAATGCTTTTAGTGTAATTATAGTGGGATAAAGCTGGCCTCTAAGTACCTTTGAGTATTTATCATAAATGAACAAACTGTTTTCCATGTGGGAGGAAAAAGGCAAAATAGCAGGCTGCTTAAGCATTTTATGGGAAAATTCTCCTATTGTGAATGAAAGTTTTGAGCAAGGCTAATGGCAAACAGTGGTGAAACTTCCCGAAAATTAAGAGGGTGCTGTGAACATCAATTATTTTTAAATGGAGAAAAATACATTTTCCTCCTATCCACTATAATAATCGTAGGCATTACTTATTACAATAGTAGGTTCAAAATTTCCAGACAGTAATGTGTTTTTTCAACTTGGCAATGCCCTTGAAAAGGGTTTGCTATACTTTTTTTAGCACATCACTTGCTTATTTATATAATCCAGTCCTATTATTCTATGATTTAGTTATTTCGAGGTTGGGGCACATGACTTATGAGGAGAGGGTGAGGGAACTATATTTATTTAGTCTGCAGAAGAGCAGGGTGAGGGGGAATTTGATAGCAGCCTTCAGCTTCCTGAAGGGAGGTTCTAAAGAGGACTGAGAAGAGGCTGTTCTCGGTGGTGACAGAGGACAGAATGAGAAGCAATGGTCTCAAGTTGCAGTGCATGAGGCCTACGTTGGATATTCGGGAAAACGATTTCCCTAGGAGGGTGGTGAAAGCATTGGTTTGCTTAGAGATGTGGTAGAATCTCCACCTTCAGTGGTTTTTAGGTCCCGGCTTGACACAGCCCTGGTTGGAATGATTTAGTTGGGGTTGGTCCTGCTTTGAGCAGAGGGTTGGACTAGATGACGGCCTGAGGTCTCTTCCAAATCTAACCTTTGGCATTGTGCAAGTAATCATCAAAATAGAAGCAAGTGCGTACAAACAAAATCAGCTTAGTCCAATGGCCCACTCATGTTCTCTATGGAATGAATCAGAGCACTAAGTGGGATTTCCAGACTTGAATGTCATTTAGTCTCCTGCTCACAAGACCTGAAGGAGACCATGCACCGTGTTCCCTGTAAGCTGAGCACTTCTGCGGCCACTCAAGAGAAATTCAGGTGCTGTCCCACTTTTTAGCAGAGAGCCTACGGCTAGGTTTTTTGTTTCTGTAGGTCAGGCACATGCACAGGTATACAAGTGGTGCACATCCACATGTTGTGCACATCTGCACATGCTTCGGTGCACTTAATTATTCTGCAAATGGATGGAAAACATTAGAAGGAACATTACTGGGTACTAGTGATATCTGGATCCTTCCTCTTTGAAGTCAGTGGAAATAATTGAGTTCTTAGTGTCCAGGGATTAAATACCTTGTAATTCTACCACATCTCCTTCCCCAGGTGATACATACAACTGTTTGTGACAGTTGTTTAAAGGAGCCATGTGCCTGTCTTCTATAAAAGTTGGTACAGAGAGTACAAAAGTTAAAAGAAAAAATTCCAAGAATCAAGGGACCACACGGGGTTGAATCGTTAGTTGGTATAAATTGCTAGAGCTTTGTTGAAGTCAGTGGATTTTCACCAGCTTATACCATTTGAATGTCTGGTACCTTCTGCCAGAGTAGCAAGTATAACAAAGTCCCCCTCTCAAATAATCAAAAACTCTATCCTGAGAAACAAGAAAGGGAGTGAGCATAAAAACATGTTTTAAAATGCATAGACTTCAGCTGGGGGTTTTCCTTGGGCTGCACTTAAATGGTCCATTACTTGGCTTTGTAGCTGATCCTCTGTGGAGCGGAATTTGGAGGAAGAGCAGTGACTTAATCATCGTACCTTTGCTGATTATTATTTATTTGAATTGTGATGGCCCCATTTGTGGCTCGGGGTCCCCATTGTGCCAGGCAATGTACGAACAGAATGGAAAGGTAGTCTCTGCCTCAAAGAGCTTACACTGTTTGGCTTGTGTATAATGAAGAGCATGAATTGAAAATGGTAATGTAATTTGAAGTGAGCTGCTCTGCTCCAATTCACTCTCCCCTAAATAAACACATTCCTACTTGATGGCCCATAGGTCCATCCAGCTGATTACATAGTGTTTGACTATTTTGTCACGAACACGGGCGCTGCTTCAAAATGCCTCTTAAAAACGGCAACTATTCTCCCATGCAATTCTAGTTTGAGTTGGCTGGTTCGCATATTTGCTCCTTCGCTCCTTTTAGATAGTTTGTTTTTAGTGTGGAGGCAGAAAAGCACTCCTCAGGTGTGTCTAGACTGCAAATAAAACCCAACAGCTGGCCTGTGACATTAGATACTATAGAGAATTTAGGGATGTTAAACAGCTAACCAGTAAGCATACTGGTAAGCATGAGACTTACCTGTTAATCAGTCAATCAGCCCTTGCTGGTGAACTCTGATGGCTACCAGCTATGCTGGGCCGAAACAGCCCTGTCCGAGGATGGACTGAAGGGCCAGATAAGATCCTGCAGCAACCGCAGGACCTCTTAGCCACAGTAGGACTTGGCAGCAGGACCTCATGCCTGTGGCAGGCCCTAAGTTAAACAGTTAACAGGTTAAACTCTATCATTTAACCTGTTCATTGTTTTAGCATCCCTGGTAGAGAACCCATCCACTTGAATGCAGTATGGATACTTTGTGCTGGCTTTCCAAAAGTCCCAAAAAGATGAGACAGGATGATGAAACTACTAAGAACAGAAAGGAAGGGAAAATGTCCAAAAATAGTGAATAGTTTTAACTTTTCTGTTCGTAAGTTACTAAATAGTTTATTCTCTTGGCTGCTGTTTTTGCTTCCTGCTAATATGTTATCTCTGTCTCTTGGCATGGGTTTCTGCTCAAGGCTATTGTGAGTATGGCTTTCTGTTTCCTTAACGCTATCATGTTTTAGACATTTTTTATTTTGATAAAAAATGAGATGCTTAAATATGTAAAGCTTTTTTGAAAAATAGCGGGGGAGGAAGGGCATTACAGCTGTGACTTATCCACAAGGTATAGCGTAGAACACTACAGTATGAGATATTTGTACATATTTATTAAAACAATAAAGACATGACTATAGTACCATAGAGAACTGCTGTAAATATATAGTATACTGGCAGTCCCCGAGTTACGCGGATCCGACTTATGTCGAATCCGTACTTATGAACGGGGCTTTTCTCGCCCCGGAGGTTGCGGGCGGCGGGACCGCCCAGACACGCCGCGGTCCCACCGCCCACGTCCTCCGGGGCGAGAAAAGCTGCTCCGCGTCTCCCTGGTCTGCTGGGCCCCCAGCCCAGCAAAGCCGCAGAGGACCCAGGCGGCGGGACCACGGTGCGTCTCGGTCCGCCGCCCGCGTCTTCCTGGTCTGCTGGGGTGGGGGGGGGCGCAGCTAGTACGCCCTCCCTCCCCCAGCAGACTAGGCTTTTCTCCAGACGCCTGTGGCAGAGCAGCTGGGGCGCTGCCGGTTGGTCCCGCAACGCCGCTCTGGGCGCTACTGGACCACCCCAGCAGCCCCCCAGCTGCTCTACCCCAGGAGTCCTCAAGTCAGCTGCTGCTGAAACTGATCAGCGTGAGAAAAGCCTGGTCTGCTGCTGAAACTGACCAGCGGCTGACTACAGGAAGCCTGAGGCAGAGTTGCTCTGCCCCGGGCTTCCTAGAATCAGCTGCTGATCAGTTTCAGCAGCAGCTGACTTGGGGACGCCTGGGGCAGAGCAGCTGGGGTGCTGCCGTGTTGGTCCCCGTGTTGGTCCCCTGTAGTCAGCCGCTGGTCAGTTTCAGCAGTGGCTGAATCTGGACGCCAGTTCCGACTTAAGTACAAATTTAACTTAAGTACAAACTTACAGTCCCTATCTTGTACGTAACCCGGGGACTGCCTGTAAACCGAATAAAATGAAAATCTGGCAGCTAAGCTCTACAGCTTTTTAAAATAATTAACACACTTAACTTTCTATTTTAGTCAATTCTGCTGAAAAAGAAGCTTGAAGAGCATCTGTAAGTAATAAAACTTTCCTGTATTGTTTTTGTAGTATGAAATAAAAACACTGACTTTCTGTATTTTGGAAAATGCTTAGCAGTATAATTTGGAAGATGTATAAGCAGCAGAAGTGTAGACAACAAAAGATACTATGAGAGCCATTATTCAAGCATTATTAACTTCTTGTGGGGAAAGTCTTTGTCAAAGAATAGTAATTAAGAATCATCATTTTGTGGTGCTAGAAAATGTGATCTAAAATGTTGTAAATCTTAAATCAAGAGGAATATTTCAAGTTGCCCTGAACAAACTTAATATAAACAATATTTACTTATCCACTTTTTAGTATACGTTATAGCGGTGGTTCTCAACCGGGAATACATGTAACCCTGGGGGTATGCAGAGGTCTTCCAAGGGGTATATCAATTTATATAGATATTTGCCTGATTTTACAACAGGCTACATAAAAAGCAGCAACAAACTCGGTACAAACTAAGATTTCATACAGACAGTATCTTGTTTATACTGCTCTAGTTATTGTACATTGAAATGTAAGTACAATATTTATAATCCAGTAGATTTATTTTATAATTATATGGTAAAAATGAGAGAGTCAGCAATTTTTCAGTGTGCTGACAGTTTTGTATTTTTATGTATGGTATTATAAGCAAGCAGTTTTTAAGTGACATGAAACTGGGGGTACGCAAGACAAATCAGATTCCTGAAAGGGATAAAGTAGTTTGGAAAAGATGAGAACTGCTGAGTTATATAATAAAATATGAGGTAGGTGAGGTAATAGCTTTTATTGGACCAACTTGTGTTGATGGAAAGTACAAGCTTTCGAGCACAGTTCTCTTTTACTGGGGAAGGAAGAGGAGAGTCTGAACTAAATACAGGTGGTCCCTTGAAGTAGGCAACTGGGTGTTAGATTGTCAACAAACATTGCTAGAAATACGTCCAGACTCAAGTGCATGGCACTCTTGTGCACCCAGATATGGAATACAAATAGGGACCACACATCTTATAGAACTTCCAATTACAGATAGTTAATGTCCTCATTCGATGACTTACTAGTTTACAAGATGTGTACAGCCTCAAGATGTGTATAGTTGGGGGGGGAGGGAGTTAGCTGGTCTTTCATAACATCAGAACTGCCAATATCATTTATTTCAAGCACATTTTGTGCACCTTATTTTTAAATTATTAAATAATTGGTAGAATTTTGGAGTATGAATGGAGTGTCCTAATGTACAACAATAGTGTTTTTTTCTTCTGTTTTTTAAACAGTTCCATTCTTTGTTCATTGATATCACTCACCATTTGCCCTAGTCCCTCATAGCCGAAAATCAGCTTTCTTATAATTTCCCAGAATTGTAGAACCTGGATTTTTTTTGTATTGCTTAATTTTCATTTGCGATGGAGAACAGTGTTAGCACATTAATGTATCTTTTTACAATTTGGAACAGTGAGAAGCTGCATGAGGCTAACAATGAAATACAGAGGAAACGAGCTATAATTGAAGATTTGGAACCAAGATATAACAGCAGTTGTGAGTTTCCCCCTGTTAGAACACTCAGTCTTTAAAAAAAAGTTTGTATGTACGGAGGGTCTTAAATAATTAACGGAGAAAACTAAAATATTTAAGAAAAATGTGTAGTTAAGTTCAGGTGTTTTAGTGATACAACATGACAGGGAAGTGTGACAATGGTAAACAGAAATTAATTCTTGTAGAGGAGAACAGCGAGATTCGCTGTCCCAGAAGATACTTCTAATGTTTATAGAAAGGATGTTTACCCTGAAGAGTGCTAAAATCTTGATGTTCACAGGAATGTCAAGTTAATACAGTTCTTTATTGGTCTTTTTAACCTCAGTTATTCAAAACGGCTATTTTCTGAGATTGGGTCATGTCTCCTGGTAGCTTTTACGTTGAAAATCCCTCCGCATTTATTAGCTCAGCCACAATATGATGGTACATACCTCATGTGGCCTGAACACGGGTTCAGGTTGTAAACTGGAATGCTGCTGACAGTTGGAGTCTCAGAAAGATGATTGGAGTAAATCTTTGTGGACACTGGTTGGTCAATAAGAATGGGCCAGTTTGGGGTTTCACAGCCATACACCAAGGCCCAGACGTACTGTCAGTACATTGAGTAGGTTGGAAAAAAAATAAGTGGCTCATCTCATCATCTTTCAAACATCAATTCCAGCATCTAGCTGAAGGTGCCATGCAAGTTTTATTCATGAAAGGGTCCTGTAAGAACCATGTATTATTTTATTCCACATTTGTTTGTGGGACCTGCTGTTCTTTATTTGTTAGCTTCTGTAATAGAAAGAGTATGGCTGAGGGATGCTGATATAATTCAAAGATGTGGTCCAATTGGCCAGTCAGGCCTTTGTAAGATGTCAGGTTTGAGGAGGGAAACTTTGATGGGGAAAGGCAGGCATATGGGACCTGTGGGCATGGGAGAGAAAAAAGGCAGTAGGAATGAGTGGCAGGTGACAGGGAGGGGCTGAAGGAGAAAGTAATAATTTTTAAACTGCTCCCCCATCTTCTTCCCCTCCATCGTGCGCGCCCACACAAAGAAAAGTCAAGCTGCCATTTCAGCAACAGTTTTTGGACAGTTTTCTCAGATTTTTTTTTTAAGAGTAAAAGACAATGTGGGAGCTGATCAATATTAAAAATGTAATATATTCATACAAGAGAAAAATTGTGTTAAAAAAGATGTGGAGTCCAGTTAGTGCAACTGCTCTACTGCTCCACAGAAAGTAATTTATGAAAGCAGCCAGTAGCCTTGTGGCACCTTGGGGTACGTCCACACAACAGCGTTATTTTAGATGAGGGTGCGTCTACAGAGCAGTGTTATTTTGCAATAAATGATATTATTTCAAAATAACAAAATGCACGTCTACAAACCAACCCATTATTTTAAAATAATGTTGAGCTGGAGGACTTCTTAGACTCCTGTAACCCTCTTTTCAAAAAAAGTAACAGAAGTCAAAGGAAGAGTGTTCTTCCTTCAATTTTCTGCTGTGTAGACAGCACCAAAAGCCGAATTAAGCTATTTCGACTTCAGTTATGCAATTGACCTATCTGAAGTTGCATAGCTTAATTCGACTTTAGCCCTGCTGTGTAGATGGCACCCTTTGTTGACCAACAAAATTCTCTCTCTCTCTCTCTCTCTCTCTCTCTCTCATGAGCTTTGGTGGGCAAAACCTACTTCTTCAGATGAAATGATCTGAGTAAAATAATTTTGTTACTTTCATGTCACATTTTTCTATTGAAATCCTTCAGTGTTACTTTTGGTGAAATATGTACAAGGGGTCTTTCTTCTGTAGATTTCTTTAGCATTTATATTTGCCTTAGGTGAATTACATTGCTAGAATGTTTTGGAACATTTTATGAATTAACAATGAGTTGCCATTAGTGTATGGCATTAATTATTCCTTTAATTTTCCATACATTCAGATAGTAATATTGTCTACAGGTTAATTATTTAACTAGTGTATACAGAGCAGTAGAAATCACTGTTTTCCTACAAGTGTTTCTGAATTGTTAAATATTTAACCACCATGTTGGCTGAATTAGTAGAATATTTTGCTGTCCTGACTTGTTCTCTCCTTCAGTTAAAAAATAAGTACTAGCTATAGGTTTAATTTATATTTAAACATAATATTTAAGTATGTTCTTAATGTGAAATTTTTAAATGCTTTTCTCCATACATAAAGCGCTCAAAATAGAAGAATTACAAGAAGCTTTACGGAAAAAAGAGGAAGAAATGAAGCAAATGGAGGAACGATACAAAAAGTACTTGGAAAAAGCCAAGAGTGTAAGTGTGGTGCTCTGAGCTAAGCTTTATGTTGCTCACTGCCTCTCTGTGGTAATAAAAATAAAACAAACCTAACTATGTCAGTCACCACAGGAGAGGAAGGGAATGCATGGGTTTTGTGGTAGTTTTCCGTTGGACACCAAGATGATACATAGCATTAAGATTCTCTTCCTGTAGAAGCCTCTACCTCAAATTTATGTTTGTCCAACCTCGCCCCTCTTCACTTATCTGTCTTTTATACAAACACCCGCTCCCACTGGAAGCATCATGTTCATTCGCCCCAGTAGTTCACCTAGACCAGTGCTCTGTCCTTGACAGTGACCAGCAGAAGGTGATATACTAGTAAGGTAATAATTATTTGATAACTGGCCTCTTGGGGAAAGTTCTTCCTAACTCTAGTCAGTTAGCAGGTTGGTTTAATGTCTGAAGCATAAGGATTAATTTGCCTTTCAAATGTTTATTATAACAGCTATAACTACAGGTGATTTTCTTGATTAGCTATTTCTAGAAAATAGAAAATCTTTTTTAATACTGTTAAGTTCTTTCCCTCAGTAATATCTTCTGGCCGTGAGATCTGTGGATTAATTATATATGATAGGTGTCCAATGTAATGTATCCATTTTAGTTTTAATTTCTTTGGTCTCTCTCCCCTTGTCCTTTATTTGAGAAGGTAAATAGGAACACCCAATTGTTGTTCTTTAGGCCATTAATTATTTTATATGCCCCTTTATTGCATCACCTTTTATGTATCTCTTCTCAACACTAACAATTTTTAGTACAGCCTCATATGCAAGCTATGCTATGCTTCTAATCATTTTTCCCCTTCTCTACTCCATTTCGATATTGCTATATCTTTTTTGAGATGGGGTGACCAAAACTGTTATATTAAAAAAATCAGGTTTTCCACGAGTTACAGATCAACCTGATACCGTTTTATAGGCAAGTCAGTTTCCACAGCCAACAGTACACAAAGGACTACTGTGGCCTTTTACTTTCCTAATCCTATAGATCACATACCCATTTTGCAGTTGGGTAAACTGGAGGTGGCTTTTCAGTGTGCAATCAAGCAAAACTCAGATCCACAGTCTTATAGGTTTGTAATTGAGCACTTGAATCACTTGGCTCCATTAAGCTATGGGTATACCATCAGTTTTTTAAATGGCAATAAGATAGTTTCACTATTATTCTCTTTCCTATTCTGAATACACCCTAGCATCTTGTTTGAGGATTTTTTTCCTGCACTGACAGATGTTTTCATTGAGCTGTTTGTGATGATGTCTAGGTCTTTTTCCTAAGCAAGAAGAATTAATATAGAACCCATCAGTGAGTTTTTAGTCCATGACAGAGCTTTGCGTCTCCTCTTTTGTGACTTAATAGCCTTATGAAATTCCAACTAATTTCTGGTTTACACTTTTCCTTTATCCGTTACGTTACTGTCACACTCAAAGCATTCTAACAAGTTAGAGGCGAGATTTTTTTCCCCTTTGCATAAGCCGCACTGATTTGTCCTATTGATACGAGTTTTATGTAACACTATCTTTAATTATTTTTCAACTAATTGATGCTTTTTGTGGCTTACGGAGATTTCCATAACTCTTCCCCAGTGTCTCTTTAAAAAATGGATACCCATTGTGGTGGCTAGATTTAATGCTGTCTCTTCATAGCTCAGCCACTTCATTATTAATTTCCTTCAGGACTCTTGCATGCCTATCATCCACTAACGGAGAGTTAGTAACACTTAATGATGATTTTGTTCCAGCATATTTGAGGAGAATGGCTTCAGGGGGGATACTCTTCACCCTCACTCTGTGACACTGGGAGCTGGAGAAGAACTCATTCTTTCTCCCACCAGCAGTTTTTTGTTTTGATGGATTCCTTTAAGAGAAAGCAAAGAACTGATCCTATGGCATTTCTTAAATGGGTTTTGGTTTGCATCATCCTGCACACACGGTGAAGTCAGTCACTACCGTGGACTGAGCAGCATAGATGTGATTGGATTAAAGGATATAGCATCTTAGAATAGTGCACTCTTCTCACATTGTGTCGGGTTACGTTTCTTAAAACCATCAGAGTTACAAGTACTTTCTTTAAAGGACTTGAACATTTTTTACAGCGCTTTGGCCATTGGTTCCTTTTACTTTATCTAGATGTATTTGATAAGATCACATTGTGGTATTGACTTAAATGAACTGTTGTGTTTGCCTCCTGCAGGTTATCCGGACTTTAGATCCTAAACAGAACCAGGGCACTGCTCCGGAGATTCAGGCTCTGAAAAATCAACTGCAAGAACGGGACCGAATGTTCCATTCGTTAGAGGTAACGATCTACAAGTTCCCCTTTGGCTGTTCTCGGGTTTCCAGTTTTTTTCCATGTTTGCTAGGTACGCTCCAGGAATTGTTTTGGGCAAGTTCTCTGGCCTGTTATATAGGAGGTCAGACTAGAATCAGAGTGATCCCTCCTGGCCTTGAAATCTATGAATCTAGGCATTCTCTGTTCTTGGCATACCACTTTACAATTATAGTCTTTTTGGTTGTTGGTTTTTTTTTCTTAGAAAGAATATGAGAAAACAAAGACTCAAAGAGAGACAGAGGAAAAATTTATCGTGAGCGCCTGGTATAATATGGTAAGATGCCCCAAACTGTATTATGATTACAAGTGTCAGTCTTTGTTGATGGTGTTTGTGTGGCATGTAGCATGAGCCCTTTCCATTTAATGACATTAGAGTGGTTTGGAGGGGTGGGGGAGAGGGAGCGCTGCCCCATTGCAGATGAGTGCATTTGACTCAGCCATCTATATCCAAGTCGACACTAAACATATAAATAAACCATGTACTTGTGCCTTCTGGCTATGCCTGCCATAACTTAAAATAGAGATGCAAAACATGCTGAAAGAGATAGTGTTGATAATGGACATCAGGTAAAACATAAGTTCACAATATAAAATTCAAGCTGGTTTTCTGTCCTTGATTGCTCACAACCTTCAGTGTATTTATTTATAATTCTTAAAATCTCTCCACAAGAGGCTCTCGGTGTTGGGTATAGAACTGTTATGGCCTCCTACCATGGCACTTAGCCAAATTATGTATATTTAGTTTTGTTAATTGGAATTGGTGCAGACAGTTTCTCCACATATGGCAAAGAGAACCATATCTGAGAGAACCACAGGGGAATTTAACCAGTGTACAATAATGAGTGTTACATTGGTAAAAACAACACACTGACACTTCCCTTGGTGTATGCAAAAGGAACATCAGGGGGACCTAACCAAAGCCAGTTTTTTTTTTGTTTAGGGACTGGTATGAATTATACCAGTAAAAAAGCTCTGTTGCTGCTATTACATGAGTCTACCCTGCCCTACTCTGTTCTTCTCCACTACCTAGGATGGTGTCTGGCTCTTCCGCTTCTCTCAGTTTGGACTGTCTGATTTTAATTTTTCATCTCTCCCAGCATGGCCAATTAGCCCCTGCTGCAACCATTGACAGCAAACACGTTGTTTGTGTTTTCTTTTGGGACAAATTCCTTCCATTTATCATTGGCTGACACTTCATAGGCAAAACGCATTTCTGAAAGTTGAGCGAGGCACCTTAATTTTCTTTGAAGATAACATTAAAAAAAAAACCTCAAGAGGCATGCTTAGGCATGCAGAAAAGCATGCTCAAATACTGGAGGGTGTCCATCCTTGAAACCTTTTTGCATGATTACTACATATGGCACTGAGCAAGAGAGGGTGAATACGGCTGTTATTCCAGGAAAATCTATACAAGCTTCCACACAGCAGTTGCATTATTTCGAAAGAAAATCAAAATAATGGAGGGCTTTTTCCGACATTGGTAAACCTAATTGCATGAGGAATAACGAAAAAGCTGTTTTGGAAGACGGTGTGTGTGGAAGCTCCACTGCTGCTGTGTCGAAATAGCTCCTCACTTGGGCCATTCTAAAGTCATTCCTCCCCAGTGCTTCCTGGCACTGTAAATCCATTAGGGGAGCCTGCCTCGGACTAATTTTGAGGCTCCCCTGTAGTGTGGATGCTCTATTTCGAAATAAGCTTTTCTGAAAGATATCTTCTAGAATAACTTATTCCGAAAGAAGCTTGCAGTGTAGACGTACCGAGCGAGAGAGAGAGGGTGTCTGTCTATCAAAGGGACAATAGGAAAAGAGAAGACTTTACACAGACAATAGGTAAATGGACAGGCTAAGTAGCGTGCACTAATGTTTGCTAATGAGTTTGTCTCTATTCACAGGGAATGACTCTGCATAAAAAAGCAGCAGAAGACAGACTAGCTAGCACAGGCTCAGGACAGTCCTTCCTGGCTAGACAAAGGCAAGCTACCAGCACACGGAGATCTTACCCTGGTCATGTCCAGCCAGCTACAGCAAGGTAGAGAAGACTTGCCTTTAGAAAGGAAACAGCCCTGGCATACTTTGTTGCACGTGACAACGTTTCAGGAAATGCAACTGGCATCCTTTATCTTTGTTTCTTGTTACCGCTGTTATTTCTCATTTCAGGAAGGGGTTTTATTATGATTTCTTATTGTTTTAATGCCCTTCATTCTACTTTTCCCGGAGTCCTCTCTTCTCTCCCTTTAAATGTGCCAACATTTTGAAAACATCCAGAGGAGTGCTGCATTATAATGGATTTTTTTTTAAATTCGTATGAAGTTTGTTCTCTCTTTCCTAGCGTCTGACATAGGCTATGTAGCAAACGTGAATTTTCTGTCAGAAATGATACACACCTACTTATGTGTGTTGTTCTCCTTTATAAGACTCTTTTCATTGAAAGGGAATTACTCTCCTTTTTACTATGTAATAATCAGTGTTTAAAATTGATGAAAATCCTTTATAGGATATGCAAAATGGCGGCATAAAATGGCTATAAAACATGTTTCCCACCCAAAAAAACAAAAACAAAAAACCACTCCACCCCATAGACATTAGCATAGGTGCTAACCGAGCTACATCCTGTGGCATCTGATATGCAGTATGTGCACAACAGACATGAATTTATCTTTTCCTGGGAAGAGGTTGCTCCTGTTCTTGGCATTTAGCATTTAATAGGGAAGCAGGCTGATTTGGAGGCCCCTCTTCCATTCCCTTTCCCCTTAAAAGGCATAAGAGCTGCTTTTATTTCTCCACTATTGTTTGCTGCCACAGGTGCAATGTTTTGAGATTGTTCTCCCGCTAGTTGAGTCTATCCAGAAAAAAAGATCATGGAATATTTGGAATGCTTTAATGTTCTACAGCATCGTTGAGTTCAAAGATGGCATTTATTTTAAATATTTGTAATTACGGACTAACCATACTTCAGGGAGCAAAGCCCAGCTCAATATTGTTGCCGTTAACATATTCACATTGTCATCCACCACTAAAAGACTTCTTGTAACTTATTGACTAGGAGGATGGTTATATTGATTGTCTTACTAATGATAGCTGTGCCTTTAGGCAAGTTGGTTGCTTACTTGACCGAAAAGTTTGAAGGCTAATTCTTTTGACACGTGACAGTCCATTTATTTGTAGCATCTTCGCTGCACCTTCATTTTGATAAAATGAGTGGTTCTCACTGCTAATACTAATTTAGGACAGATCCTTCTACACAGTGCTGAGTATTTCGGAGTGTTCTGAACCACCCTAAACTCCCAATAACTTCCTGAAGAGTTGAAGATACTCAACACCTAAAATCTCTTAGGATCAGTCGTTGCAGTTTTACTAATAAGGGAGCTTTGTATACGTGTGTTTTTGTGATATGACCTTCAACACAAATCTTGTTCCTAATATGATGTGCAAACCATGTAGTTTCTTAAGTTTACATTTTTTTTAATGATTTTAATCTCTTGCCCAATGCAGGACTTTCCTTCTATTAAAACCCTTCAAAAGTAGCTCACCTTGACTTTTTTTAAAGCAGCCCAAGGTATATTTTAATCTAACCTTTTAGTGTAAAATGGTTATAGGCAGGGCTCGACAAATCGCTGTTTCTACTCGCCCGTGGTGAGTAGATTTCAGCTGGTCGCCCCGTTCACCAGCGGCGGGCGCATGCGCAGTGTGGGTCTTGCGCATGCGCAGTGCAGAGCTGGCAAGTAGATTTCGTCGCCATTTGTCAAGCCCTGGTTATAGGACTCTGAAGGACCAGTAGACATGGATTCAAAGACATAGATTCATTTGTAAGTGCTATTATAGTCTAGAGCACAGTCAACTGCTCATACCTAATCCATGTTAAAAATTACTATTAAATGATAGAAGAAGTTATCTTGATCCTGATTTTCCCATCTATACAAAAAACATCTTCTGAAGTCCATGGGCAAAATACGTGTTTGTCTTTCGACATAACATAGAAATAATGGTGAGCGGCATTGAATGTATTGATTAAAAAAAGCTTTATAGCTCTGGTTTGCCCCCTGTATGAAGCCTAAAATTAGGTTAGGAAGAGAAAATTTCACCTGTAGTGTGTGTCAATCTAACAGTGTAGGAGGCTGTTTAGGCATAAAGTGATATTAGCCTTGCTGTGTTTTGGTGAGAAATAAAATGTAAAAAGGCAAGTTTCATAAGCACCAACTAGCAATATGATTACTCTGACACATCTTGATTGTGGAATTCAGATGGGTCGCTTTAGGAATCTTTCTTGCATGTACCCTGTGTGTACAGGAGCAAGAGTTAATCCGTGTTCCTCAATAAATATATACAACAGTTTTCAGCCCCCTAGGAAAGAACCCAAGAATATTTAGGACTTTATTCTGTTTTTGTCTGTCAGGCTCTTCCTTTGTACCACCACCTGCCAACATCTACTTCTGAATGAAGGGGATTCCAGAATTTTAAGGGGAGGTTATATTTCCAAGTTTGTCTGCTAATTCACTTTCAGATGACTGTGTAGCCAAACGAAACTCCATCCTAAAATTAAACAACTTGCTTTTGTTTTTAGGGGGTTTCCCCCTCTCTTTTCTGGCTCCTTCTCCCCCTCTTCGCTGCCTTTGGGTTTTTTGTCTCACGTTTGTCGGTTTTACTATTTTGAGGTTTTGTTTTTGGAGCCCACTCTCTCTTTATTTTGGCCTTTCTCTTCTTTTCCCCATGAGCTGCTTTCCATGGGTCTTTCTGAGCATCTCAATGAAAGCTGTACTATCCTGTTGAGTTTTATGTTGCTTTTACAGCTGACACTGTGTAGGTAGGAACAGCAGAGACGAACAGTAAATCTGTGTTTTGTTGCTGCTGTGCATAATTACCAGGTTTCATGAAAACTGCTGTGACTATTTCTAATACCATAAATCCGTATTAAATAAAACACACAGTCCTGCCCTGCTCACCTAAAAAGGTTACTCCCTATGGGAGAACTAATTTGCATTCCTACAAGGGGTAAACAGTCCTCCTGGGCAGCCACACTTTTAGCTGATTATGACAAAGAGCTGAGCAGTCCGTGGGAGTCCTTTCTGAGCTTCCTAACAACTGTGGAAATTTCAGGCAGGCACCTTCTGTCTCGAAGCTTTGTATTAAATAAAGGAAATAGCCTAATGCCCAAGCAAGTCCACAAGTCTACAGCATGATCAAACGACTGGAACTTAACTTCTTTTATATTCAAGAACGTGCCGATTAGGGATGTTAAATTTAGATTAATTAACTAATCGAATAGTCAATAGGGTTTTCATCAACTATTTGATTAGTCTATAAGGGTGCCTTTGCCTTTTAACTGTAGCAATAGCCCTGCTGGTCATGTGCTCCCTGTGGTGCCTCCACCTTTGAAATGTACAAGAGCCCCAGCGCTGTCTCCATGCTTCCTCCTAGGGCTCTTGTATGTTTTAAAAGCAAAATCACAGCAGAAGTGGCACAAGCGGAGACAGTGCTGAGGGGAACCAGCTTTTAAGCCCTCTCCCCCAGCACTGGCTCCTGATCTCTCTCTTGCTGCCTCTCTGATAGAGGCAGCAAGGAGGGAAGCAACTAGTCACATCACTAGTCGATTATCCAATAAGCTTATGCTTCTCCAATAGTCGACTAGTCACTTACATCCCTAGTGTGGATTCAAGCATGTACAGTGCCCTGTAAGTTGTACTAGAAACATCATAAGGAAGAATTTGTAAGATTCAGTTTTTTCTTAATAATACTTAGCACTTGAGGAATGCTTTATATTTTTCCAAGTGCTTTATAAACAGTAACGGACTGATTTTAAAGTTAACTTTTAGCCAAAGTGTAGCACAAAGAGACGTCTAACATAGAAATATAAATATGTAAACATTTTATACTGAAAATAATACAAACAGGAAATGGACTACCTGTTGTTTTATCACTGTATCCTTCTTGATATTAAGCAAATAAGAATTCTTTGCAATTTTGGTGTCACTGCCAGACTAAAATAATTTCTATGTTTGCTTTAAAAATATTGCTAGCAGTTTTCTATTCCAACAGGTTTCATTAGCAACTTTAATGTTCATTAGTGTATCAAAGGGTGAATTTTTTTGAATCCTATTTAGAACTAAAGTACCTGTCATTTTCTGCTGTCTCCATAGCATTGAGGGGTATGTGCCAGTTGCTAAGAAAATTTTAAAGTAGGACTTATTTTTGAGGGTCCCTTTTTGCTGATGCATTCAAATAATTTCTGCAGTTTTATCAATATTACTCCTCATCAGATTGTCCACTCGACAGCTTCCTGGATGGTTTGTAATGATTCTGCTTGAGTAGTGTTGATGCTTTGGCATAGTTGGTAGTTAGATTATACTTGCTTTACACAGCGAGTTTGAGGAAGAACACCCAGAATGTATGTCTCCAATTTTTCATTTTCTATGAAATTTAAAACAACCCCTGGATTGAACACCTTTTATCGAGAAATTTTTTCTCTTGGAGAAGATTGGGAGGAAAATTTAGCACATGTAGGGCAAAATACTTAGGTTTCCACGGGCATAAATTGAATCAAATTGACCCCTTATGTTTTGCAAGATGCCTGTCATTAAAATAATTAGGTATCTCCAAAATGAATATATGCTAATCAGACAGGATTTAGGGCAATGAGTTTCTGTACAAAGGAGAAACTTATAAATACGTTTTCCCTCTTGTTGTGAGCCCTTAGGCACTCTCATGCCTTTGGTGTCATCTATAGCAGTGGTTCTGAACCAGGGAACTGGGGCCCTTGGGGGGCCAAGAGCGGGTTTTAGGGGGGCCACCAAGCAGGGCCATCATTAGACTCATCGGTGCATGGGATAGAAACCTGAAGCCGTCCCCACCACCCCCAACCTCCTGCATGGGGTTGAAGCCCAGGGCTCTCAACCCCACTTTCGCGGCTGAAGTGGAAGTCTGAACAGTGTAGTGGGATGGGGAGGGGGGCCCAGGCAGTTATCCAGCTTACTACCTCCTAAAACCAGTGCCTGTGAGACAGGTGTGCTTTGCAGCTTTTATAGCAGGCTGACGTGGAGGGGGGACTCAAAGTTGAGACCCCTCTGAAACACTGTGGATCAGAACTGGATCCATCTTGGTGAAGCCTGTTCTCAATAAAATCTACAATGGGGTCACTTGCACTTGATAGCAACAATGACTTTCAGACACCTTCCTTAAAATGATCGTGTTGAGCAAAGTTTGCATGTGAAATCCGGTGTTCCCTCCCTTAAACTAAAAAGTAAATTTAATGGTCACGAAACTGAGGACTCATATTAGTAATGGCTTGTGCCAGGCCAATTCTAGTTAAGCATTGCTCATTTCCCTGCACACTTCGCTCTTGGGAGTACAAACACTTCTCCTGTCTACCTGTCTTTTCTCAATAGAAATAGGTGAAGTATGGCATGATCTGCTATGCCTGGGTATGTGAGCTCCTCGCATTTCAAGAGGCAAATCCTGACTGAGCCAGAAACCCCTCAAGCTGATGGCTGTAGAAGACACTGACTAAGTCTCTGGAACAAGCAATAAGTGTGGGAATAGATACGCTACTAGCTGCCGCTTCAGTCTTATTTCAGATCTGCATTAGGTCTTGGGCATCCTTGGCAGAGGACCATCTCAAGCATAAGTAGGTGACATTTCTTCCCTATCTAGAGTGCAGGGAGGCATCGGAAACTTGGTAGTGACCAATATGAGGTGAAAATAAGAGGATTTTTTTTTTTCATCGGGTGAAGAAAGCAAGACAGACACAGGCACCTGTTCTGAGAAGGGTGCTTGCGTACAAATCTCCAAGAGTGGTCGTTGTCGTAAGTTTTGTTTTTTTTTTTTCGCTGCAACTCACACACCGTATGAAGCAAAATACTGGGTTCTTGGCATTGATAGATTTAATTTAATGTTGAGTTACAGCTGACTGAACAAGAAACTCAAGAAAGGGGCTTTCCCACATCAGTATAGGTAGGCCAGCCTCAGATTTTTCCCATCTGTCAAAATAGATCTCTGGAGATTGGCTCTGCAACTGGCACCATATTGGGAGAATCTGACTGCTTCTCTTGTTTTCCATTCTTGACTCCAATGTTTTCATTGGAGAGCGAGGCACAAGGTCACTTTAGAAACAATCCACTGATGGAATTGGACATATCTTGGCATTTAACAAATAAAAGTAGACTGGAAAGCCCTGGGAAACTCTACTAGAAGCAATGTGCATTTTTTTTCCCAGCTGCACAGTTCTAAAAGACATCAGATTACTCCCTAACAATGGATTCAAGTCAGCTTCCTAAACTAATTGTTTGACACCCAAAACAGCTGATGGATCAGAAACAATTCATGATAAATGCTCTAGAGTCTTGATCCGTGGTGTCCAACCAGTTGAAGCAGTAGCCACAATAGTGGTTACTGCTTTAGCGAACTAGCCTTGTTAGTCTGAAAATGTAAATACTAGAATGGTTATTGCTGTAGCAACTCGCCACACTCAAGCGGCCAGATAGCCACTTGTGGCTAGTGTGTTGGACACCATGGGTGGGGGTGAAGGGCTGAGCTTTTTGAAGTGCATGGGCATTTTGCCACTGACTTGGGTTTTCACTCTCTCATCTGAAGATACAGTTCTTTCTACAATAATGGGGTAGCTCTGAAGTGGTTCTGCGCATTGGTCAGTGCCAATGGAAGATCAGAGATGTTCTGTGTTCATTGCTTATAGGAAGACACGTGGAGACCTGACAAAGGAGGGAGCGTGGCGCATTATACATTGATGCCACAATTTAAAATAAATCCCCGTCTTATGAGATCAGAGGCGTTCTCTTAGTGCTGTTCGGAGCCTCCGATTTCAGAAGTGGGTTTGAGAACTGGTTGAAGTACTGTCCAGGAAAAATGAAAGTGTGGCTTACAGGGTACTTGGGAAACCATTCGTATTTGCTGGCAACCTTATTTACTGCCAGTTGCGGCTGACGTGTTTTGCATTTAGGCATGGGAACAGTTTTTGTACGGGAACAGAAGGTGAAAGCTCTGGTTTCAGTGAGAGAAGAATGGCTGTTTTCATCTTTAAAAAAGGAGACGTTTCAATCAGTTCTTCCAGCTGTGGATCCTCAGGACAATGGTCTTTGTGCTACCAGTTTAAGGGCTGCCACCAGAAACACACTTAGGGATTGCAACTGTTACAGAACTTAGCAGTCCAGCTGCTCCGGTGGTGTCTTGCTGGAGGTATCGATGCTGCCCACAGCTTAGAAACTGCTTATAATTCAGCCATTCTGCTTCCATGTCTTGCTAATTTATCAGCATTGCTAAAAACCAGTCCTTCACTGTCACTCTGATAACATGGCATGGTAACAAAGGCCATGAATATGAATAGCATAAAGAACTCAACTTGGAAATCTGCCAGTCTTAAATTGAAATACTTAGGGTATAACTCCCCCCCGCCCCTCAACTTTTTTTTTCCCCCTCAACAAAAAATCCTCGGTGTTTCACATTTAAAAAGAAAAATGGTTTGGTGTTCCTCGGTCTTTAAAAAGTTTCAGAAATACTGCCCTAGACTATATCCTATCTAGAAAGACATATCGGGCCTATCCCTCAGTTCCCTGCAAGTCTACCTGGCAGCTGTTACTGCACTTCATCCCTCTATGGAAGGCAACTTTCTCTTTGCACACTCGCTAACCACTTGATTCTCAAATGCTTTGATAGGGACTTTCCCTGCCTCCTGGAAAAATAACACCCTTGTGGGACTCAAATCTTGTCCTCTCCATTTCAACACCCCTCCTCCCCAGTACTTAGTGACTGACTTCATGTCTTTCCTCTCCGTGAAAGTTGCCTTTCTCATAGTCATCACATCAAGGAGGGTCAGAGCAGTGAAGACAGACCCTCCACACGTTACATTTGCCAAAGAGAGTTGCTGTACAACTACATCCCAGATTTATCCCAACAGTGGTTTTGTCATTTCTCCTTCACCAATCCATTCACTTACCTATAGTCTTCCCAAAACCCCATACATCTGCAGAAGAGCATGGACTCCACTTCCTAGATGGCCTTTTGCCATAGAGACCCAAACCTTTCTGAAAGACCCCGCGGTAGTTTGTTGCTAGAGCGCAGAGAATCTGAGGATAGCCCATCTCCATCCAGAGAACTTCCAAATGAAGATTCTACCCTGTCGGTTCCCAAACCTTGCCCTCTCCCAGTGGGGGTACACATGCACTCCACAGGAGCCCTACATACCCCTCCCAAATGTCTGAAGCCATCATATGGTGCACCCATAGCAAGATATTGCACCGTGGTACAAGATTCAGTGGCTGATGACTGATTTGTGATGGAAGTTCTCCATTCAGCTTATCCCACCCTCCTCCTGCGTAGTGCTGTTCGTCAGTCACCCGTAGTAGAATGCTGTAGAGACTATCACTCGAAGAAGTGTTTACTCACAACTAGAGGCTCTTTGAGATACCTTGCCCTTATTTCTATTTCACTTACCCATCCTTCTCCCATCTGCTCTCCGATTTGTGGAGGAGAAGGAACCGAAGAGATCTTTGGTCCACTCTACCCTTCCTTACCTGGGTCAGAAGTGTAAGGCAAGCCAGACTATATATGCAGAGCAACAGACGCTGCTTTCAAATTCTCCGACTCTCGTGTGGTGCGCCTATGTAAGTATCAGGGCATTCATATAGGGACCGCCCCCTCAAAGCACCTCCAGTTACAGGCAAGTAACCGCCTCATCTTCAGCCGTTGGAAATCCTCAGAGCTCCTTCCTTCTGAAGCATTGACACTTTCTGCCAGCTGAGGATCAGCCTCAGTATCTTGGACCTCTCCAGGCTTAAAAAACTGCTGCTGTTACAGTGATTAAAAAATTCCCTACTATGGAAATACTTCCTAGAAGTTGTTACCAGATTCGTTTCTAGTAATAACAGGCACTATTCTAACCCACAAGGACAGTCACATCTCTCCCTCTCTTGGGCCAGTGTATTTCGGAGAGTCTGTGGCCATGTTTACCTTTTCTTTTGTTTCCCCAAAGGGCTCCCTTTAGTAAAACGGAAACAATGTATTTTCCAGTGTGTTAGAGTATGTTAACTGCATCACCCTATCTTTCATTTAATCCGATTGGACAAGCAGATTTTCAGTATCTCACCCTCTGATGAGAGTGAACAAGTGGACTGAGCTCTCTCTCAGCTTCAGCATTTTCACATTTTGCGGCGTTTTTTTCCCAATCATCCACATCCTGCTGTGCATGCTCGTTTAGTAGCGCTTGAGTGGACAACGGTGCACCTGGATGTGCAACTACCAGCATACTTTTTCAGGATTCGGTGTTTAATGCATTCTTGATTTTATTTCACTTGATTTGTTATGGTCCGTTCTCTCTCTCTGTGCACTTTCTGACTTCTCTACATAATAAACATTCTGGTTAGGAGGACAGGAGCACGAAGGTGGGCGCATAGTAAGGTCATTGTGCTGTTACAGAAATTTGAAAGCGTACACTTGTAATGTGTGCAGCAAAGTTAAGTAGTTGTGTTATTTTGGGTTTGGTAGAATTAACGCAGCATCTACAGGACTTGTGCTTTTGCAATAACTTTGGAAAGAAGTGTCTTAACGTTTAGCCATAAAGACATTTTCGCGAATAAATTCAGTCCAGATTTGCCTGCGATGAGAAGCATTATTAGAGTCAGGACAATTCTTAGAGCCTGTATTCTATCAGATGAGCGTATTTGCTGTTTATATTGAGATGGGATTATTGAAAATCAGAATAAGCCCACATTGGAATCAAGTTTCTCTCCTATTCTGCATATTTCTGCAGTAATATCTAAAATTTGCTTTCAATCGAAAACTTTATTTTACATGAAATGACTAAAACTTATTTGTGTACAATGAACATGACACAGATGTGCTTGTTAGGCAGCTTTGGTAGAGCTAATCAAAACTCAGGGCTTGCTCATTAATATTTTTATCTTGCGACACTTGTGTGGCATTTCTGACCGATGAGAATTGAAAATATGACTCATTGCCTTTTTCAGTGGTTAAAACCCATGCTGTGAGAGCAGCACCTTCTTTATTTCTGGAAATGTGGTTTTTTTTTAAGCGGATTGTGCTCACAGGCAGCAAGAATGTGTGGAGGCCAATTTCAATACTACTGTAGATCTTGGCGTGGTCTGAAGAGGCCTTCTGCACTAAGAGTGGTGTAACCACTTGGACACAGCTCCTCAAAGGTATGAAGGTGCCTAACGTCTATCGATGTGAATTAGCTGCCTACATAGCTTTGAGGATCTGGGTCGTGGTCCGTTCCTAGGAGTGGCACCAAATGGAGATATTTCTTGGAGGGGAGCGAGGGTGCAATTCCAGTCCTCCTCCAGCTTCCTCCCCCAGCAGGGCCCCTGCTCATCCCTTAGCTCCGCCCCAGATCTTCCTCAGCTGTGGCATATCCCCTCTCTCGTCCTCCTATGCTGCCAAGAATCGCTTTCTCAATAGAGCCCCCGGAGCTTGGCTGTAAAGGAACCCGTGTGCCAGACCACAGCCCCATTTGGAGTGGCAGCCTGGTCCTGTTTCAGTAGCACTGCCACCGTGCCCCTTGGGGTGATGCTCTGGACCATTCAGGCAGCAGCCATGGTGTTTTAGTTGAGAACCGCTGCTTAAAAGTGGTCAGGCCCCCGCTGCCCCCAACTTTGGGGCCTGTAGATCTCTGACCAATGCAAAAACCGTCGGGGGAGGCTGGGGGCAAACACCCCTTGTCCCAGTCCCCCCAGCCCATGGGGCAGCGCTGGGCTAGAGGCCAGCTTTTGTTCTGCCATTCAGCTGGTAGCACATTAGGCATCTTGCGAATGCTTCTAGTCGCCTTAATAAAATAATGGTTGTAGCCCGCAAGAAACCGTTCCCCTTGACCTAGCTGAGCTTTAACTAGACGCCGCTTAACTAAACTGCATAGAAAATGTGTGTTCTGCTTTCCTTTTTAACAGGAATGAAATGTTTGGCTTCTTTTTAACTTTCTTCTTTATTTTTTTTTTCATTTGCAGTGATGTGGTTGCATGACCTGCAGCATTATTTGTCATACAGGGACTGTTCAGTGCATGACTTGCTTTTCTGCCAGACTGCATAACCCCAAACTTAACCAGTTCTACCACTTAAGACTCATGCCAGCTGATTTCAAAGAGAGACTTGCAAAGAAGCTTGCCATCTTGGGGAGTGGCTTTATGGTTTCCCTCTTCCACCACCTGCTCCCTCCACCCCCTCCAAAAAAAAATATCTCCCAGTGAAACTGAGGAAGGCGAAAACTCAGTATTCAGAATTCTTGAAAGGGCATTTGATAAATTGACACAGATCCCTTTCAGTGCTCCATTTTACTTTCTCTATCCGATTTAACTACTTCATTCTAATTATTAACACATAACCACCTGCAATATTTTCGATTACTAAACTAGATAATGGCTAGTCTTAATGTGGTCATCAATGTACCTTTTTGTATAGTCATATTTTAAAGGCTCTGCTTCAATCAGGCTTTTTATTATTTAAATGAAGCCAAGAAAGTTTTCTTGCAGGAGAAAATGTTTGAATTGCTGTTTGACGACTCCAATGTTCCTTAAAAACTAAGCAAGATCCAGCTGATAAATTCCAAGCATGGACTATCATGCAATATTTTATTTGCAAACATTGCATACTTTCTTAATATGTATATACACAGTAGTTTATGACTGTTACTTTTTTCTCTGTCCATTTAGCTGTGTCCTCAATTTCTTTCAGTAACAATTTTTTTCCATCTATGTACAAATGATAAATGATTCTAGAAAGGAACATGAGTCGACAGAACTAGTACAAAAGCAGTCTACAGACTTACAGTATTATGCAAAATATCCTTGCTAGCTTATTTGAGTTATTTAAATTTTACTTGTACTATTTAGTTGTCTTTTCCTTATCCCAGTTTTAGTTATTTCATTTCCAATTGCACTAGCATGCTGGTTTCTTTGTATTATGAAGGATTGCTCTAAGATTTGCAATATGTAGACAGTATAACTCAAAATGCTTTGGTGCTGCCTCTATTGACTAATTTAAAAAGCTGCTTATTTAAAAATTTAAGTTCTGAACTAGCCACCCATTTGTGTTACTGTATTTTCATTTTGTACATGGACGGACAGCACTGGCAAGATGCAAGACCATGCTGTTCTAGAGTATTCGAAGTGACTGTTGACTGTAAATCTATGGTTGTTTGAACCTCTGGGGCAAAGGTGAGACCTTGTAAGCCATAGTATTTGCTAACTGCCTCCAGAGAAGCTGAACTCATTAGCGCTGTACGTTGTTTGGTTTGATTAGAAGTCCGTGTCTTGAGCAGCCCCACACTTCCTCATCACAGAGGAACGTTCAGGCCTTGAGAGCTGATGAGGGGGTGTACAAACTGGCCTTTTTGCCTTCTTGGGAACGGGATGAGTGGCATTTCCAACTCTGGAGAGCCGCTGGGGATGATTAAAGGCTTCCCTACCCCCACTGGAGATCAGTGCCGCCAGAGTCCGTAGCTTTCGGTTGCCATGTGACTGTTCAGGGGTTAGACAGAGACTCCTCGAGGGTGGCTCTGGGTATTGGAGCCATTCTTCATGCCACCAGCCTGGCTGTATAGATTAGTAGGTTACTGTTCAAGCTGGTCTGAAGCCCAAGGTATTGAACTGTCCTGAAAATCATCCTTTAGCTTGACTTAGTTTCCTCAGTGCAGTAGAGAAATGTCCGATTGAGCTCGTATCCGCACGTAAATGTTTTTTCTTTTAATTCAGTTATCCTAGGCGCGCTCTCCTGGAGCAACTGCAAATTTCAGTGGCAAATTAACAATGATCCCACGCATGTATCCAATGTACTAACTTGATGTGTGCTGCATACGAGACTTTAATTTTCTCTGTGGCAGCTTGTTTGACTGTCCTTATTTGTGTTGACCAATTATCAAAATAACTGTTTGTGAAATTGCCAATATATTTTCTGTCAGAGAATGGATTTCTAGAGTGTGAAAACATTTGATTGCCCTCTTCAGTTCACTATGAATTCTTATCCTGTAACTACCAGATTGTCATGGTAGTGGTATTAATATACATATCTGTATATAGACAAAAAGACATGGTTGTGGTCAGAAGAATTCGAACATTTTAATAACGTTTTTCCCAGTCAAATACAATAATGCTTCCAAGGCTACAAAAAAGTGTACAGTTGTTAAACAAGTTGTAAATAAAGGCTTATATAAAATGGAGTCTCTTGTTTCTCTGGAATTTTACTGTAGTAAAGAGAGTGCAGAAACTAAGGTTTGTGTTAAAATTGTGGCTTTGTTAAATCTGAAACTCTCCTTTTGTAGCCACAAACTAATGGGGTCATATTTGTTGTCTGACTGAAGTTATTATCCAACTAAATCTTTCAAGCAGGCTCATTACAGGGGCTTGGAGCTGGTCCTGCATCTCCCCACACAAGGATCTTTTAGTGCTTCCCACCCTCCAGGAGCACATACCAGTGTGTAGGAGAACACAACACTGAAGGTGAACTTTGGATAACAAGTCCATGCTCTAGGACTGCACGGTAAGATACAGAATGGTAAGGTAAGTGGTCTTTAGTCATAACTGGAATGCTTCACTCAATGGGGTATTTCCAGAAAGGTTGATGGGTGCTCGGTGTAAGTTTTGGGTCAAGCTTAGAGCTACCCTCGCTCCCTAGTCTGGTTGCTTACAGAAGATGGCAGGAGACTGGAGGTATTGCCTCTGCATCACAAACAGACACTCAAGCATTTTTATCAGTAATTGGGTTGTAGTATTCAAAAGTGGCCTTGAGAGGACTAGTCAGAGAGCCTGCTGGAGCAATGTCACCCCTGTACACTAAGCCCTGAAGACTGGACTGAAGGTCGAGGAGATATTATCCGGCTATGGGCAGGTGGCAGACCTGTGGTCAGCCGTGATTCATGTGGCTGTACTAGTTTAGTAATAGCTGTCTGGAGCTTTTAAACGCCTGGAGTAAAGCCATATAGCATGGCCATGGACATTCAGCGCTCCCCCCTGCTGCCTGCCAAACATTTTGTTGTCACGGAAGATCCCTGGGCTGCATGGAAAGAGCCATTGACCTTTCAAGGCTGAGTTGTTCTAACGTTTTTCCATGAGAACCAAGTAAAATCTCCCATTTCCAGACCATTTCAAACTTTCATCTGGTTTGGTCAGATAATTGTGGATTTGCTCTAATGGGGTGTATGTGTCTGTGCATGCATCCTCCCTTCCATTGGGAACAGGGTTGGATCTAGCTCTAGCCTGTTTTGAAGACTTATACCAAGAGATCCTAGAGGAGCCAGAGAAGTTTCTGTAATCTTTGTAGGCGCATACAACCTTTTCCATTATTTATGTACTAGCAGAGGTACCTGGAGTTGTTCTGGTCTTTTACTGAAGTAATTATTTTTAAATAAGTGAAAAATGTCCATGATTTATTTCAGTGACTGTAGTTTTTGGAAATGAAGGCTGGAGAGCTTGGGGCTGAGGGGTGGCTTAGGGCAGAGGGCTGGAGGTGTAGGGGAGCTCACAGAAGTCAAGGGAGGTGCAGGACCAAGGGCAGGGGCTCAGCACAAGGCACTGGGAGGTGGAGGGGGGCTTACCAAGGCAACCCCTGGTGGTTGAGAGTGGTGATGTGCTGATGGCAACTCCTCTCAGGGGCTTGAGGCCCCCATCTGTTCCTGCAGGCCATGGGGGGAGGGTGTCAGGCTCCAGAGGCTGCTGCCTCCTCTGGTGGCCTGCAGGCTTCTCCACAGGGGAACCCTCTCTACTGGCCCCCCTTGTGGCTTACAAGCTCTCCACATCAGGGGGTAAATTGGCTACTTACCGGTTCTGGTAGCAAGCAAGATGGCCACTTCCATGGTGCTGCAGCTGCCCCCAGTGACCACGCTCAGTATTGTGTCCCTTTGCGTGCCGTGTGTTATCCCTCCCCCTCCACCCCACCCCCTGTTATGGGAGAGTCCCCCATTTCTGGCACAACCAAACCCGACCTTGCTTAAGTTAAACAGGAAGCTGCATCCCAAATTTGGCGGCTCAAGCGAGGCTGGTCGCTTTCTGCTGCAGTGGATGGCAGTCAGTCACTGAGGGCCTGTTGGATGCTATACAGGTTCTTTATACCACGGAAGGGTTGTGGTAGGATCACCCTCCATGCACTTTCTGATGTGTGCCATAGAAGTCTCTGACCAGACCTCAGCATTATTGGTGTAATATTGGCAGCAGTAACAAGGGAAGAGGAGTGGTGATGTCAACTGCTAAATTCAGGCAGGAGCTTAAAGCCGTGGCTGGATAGCCCTTAGGCAAGTGGAACCCCCAGACACCAGATGTGCCTTGCCAACACAGGCCAGCTGTGCCTTTGTCGGTACTGCTAGACTGCACTGGTTTAGGGGATAGCATGGCTCAAACTTCCCACAGGCATGATGGAAAAAGGTGCTGGGACTGGACAGTCCACTTAAAGGATGGCCAAGAGATTTGATTAAAATGCCTTGTCTAAGACAGTTTAGAAATACATGGTGACAGTATCTGAGAATAGCTGTGGGTTAGTTTGTCACTTTTGTATTAAACAAGAAAGCAGCCACCTAAAACACTGTGGGATGATACTGTGTCCCCTGTGAACAAGCATGTGCACAGCCTTTTTAGTCACCCTCTGTAATGTAAAAATATGCCTCATGCTAAACCCTACACTGCTTTTCCCCACCTGTGGCTGTGATCAGTTGTATGCCTTACCAATTGCCAACACAATCTTTGACATGCTTCAGTCAGCCTTGCTCTCAACTCCATACACACCAGCCTGGAGCCTTCCTTCTGCAAAAAGCCAACACAGCCAGACTTCTGCCCTTGCTCTGACTCATTAATAGAGTAGACAGGAACAGGCTACCACCAAGGCTAGATATTCTGCCAGCATGTAACCCCCCCCTCCCCCTTCCTACTACTTACCACTTTCTGCTTCCCCCTAAGCCCCACAACACTGGGTTTTATGCAGGGAAGGGGGAATTTACTTGACCTACACAAGGGATGTTTTAATTCCACCACAGGGCACAATAGTGGAGACTTTTGAAAGCTCAGAATACAAAGCTCAGGAAAGCTTTTAATTTGAAAAAGCGGTGGCAAGTCCTGTGGCACCAACTGAAGTGTTAGAGCATAAGCTTTCGGGGGCAAAGATCCACTTTGTCAGATGCATTTTAATTTGAAGAACATCTTCCTGTAAATGCAACCTTTGTAACTTAACTTAGGCACTGATTCCTCCTCCAGCAAAGCTGTCAATCATCATTTTAGGAAAAATATTTAATACTTATAGGATATTCTTCATGTATCTTACCAACACACTTTCATTAAGATTTCTTTGAAGATTCATTACGAAACTGTTTGCTGGGACACTATATGTTGTATAGTTCAACTCATCAAAGTTTAATGTTAAATATAAGCCAGCAGGTATTCAGACTTTCACATGAAACATGGAAATTTGTGGCTACCAGCACTTGCAGGTAATACAGTACATAGAAGTGAAGTTTGGAAATCATGTAACAAACGTCCTTAAAAAAAGTTGTATATAGATATTAATAAATGAACATCTGGTTTAACAGATTAGAGAAGCATATCAGTGAAGGTGAGCAAAATTACATCCTACATTGCATTTCACTTGTACATGCACTTGTGGAGTATTACACAGCTTTGAAGTATGTTTTTGTATGTACAGTTTGCGGCTATTTCTCAGTCCAGCACAAATGAAATCTTGGAGCCAAACTGTCAGGATAATGCACCGACACCAAAAAAAATCAACTGAACAACAGTCTTGAAAATGCTTTATTGAACGGTGTGTCTTATTGTAATGTGCAGAAGATGTGTTTGAAAAGACTACAGCTTGAAAACTGGTTCTGAAAATCCTCAACAATCAATAAAAAAATCCCTACTGGGGGTAACTCCTAGTATAGCCAGAAGACTGGTGTAAAATTTCCCTTAAAACATTTTCAGTTGCAGAGACTAAACAAAAACAAAGTTGTACTGAATTGTCTGGAAATACTTGGAATTTGAGGATTAAGAAAAGAAGATCAAAACAAACTTCAAACGGTGGGGTGGTTTTTTTGTTGTTTTAGATTAGTATACATGTCACAGTTCTGTTAAGAACACCAGCTGGTGTTCCAGTCTGTAATTTTATTCTAAAATGCTTGTAATGCTGCAGGAATGGAAGATACAGAGAAAGAGAAAGCAGGTGAGGTTAGAGAACTGGAAAGAGACATGATTATGGTATAAGCCTATTTTAAATTTATCAGAAGCTGTGTGCACTTTTGTCTTTATAGTCTAACTTTACATTCCAAAAAAACCAAACCCCAGCTGTCTTTGCATTGGGGCGATTATGAAAGTCTATGCACAAAAAACACTGTACATTTTTTTACATATAGGATTAATAGTATAGGCATGTAGGTGGCATGATTCAATTAAAAGGCTTTTTACTTTTTTATGCCAGAAAAATAATCAGAGAAATAATAAATAAAAGGTGCTAAAGTTAGCATTAAGAATTCAGTTGTAATATATTGACAGTCTGGGAAGTCAAATCCTCAAGCTCTCCTGATACTGACAAGTCTCTGCAAACTATGAAGCAAATACATAAATAAAACTCAAAAATATGATTGAGACTGTGAAAGGCTTTTAAAACTAAGACAACATAATCCAGGTTAACTTTTTTTTTTTTTTTTAAAGACAGTGAATAAATGAATCATCTACACCTGAATAAAACATGTTTAACAGTTGAAAAATTTTAACAACCACAAAAAGGAAACTTTAAACAAAGATGAACAAGATTTGATTTTGGGGCACACAAAAGCCCTTTGCAGTAGATACCAGCAATGACCTTACTGCTGTATCTCCGACAGACGTGTAGGAGAGAAGCTAAACTCCACATGGACAGGATGACTAATATGACAACATAATAGTCACATATAGCAAAATGCCAAACCCTGGAAACAACAACAATGTATCCCACTGCAGAGCTTGCTTTATGTGCCGGAAGCACATAGAAATAGGTGATTCGGTCACATATTATTCAAAAGCTACGGCGTGGCGACAAACTGCTAGTGAACACAAACCTTTTTGTCACGTAACCTTTGAATAATGGGAAAAGCTTTGGGTTTTTATAGTTTTACTCCTTGTATTTAATTTTTTAAATGACAAGGTCACTAAAACTCATGCACGCTGCAAAAAACCTCATGCAGTAGTTAAGGTAAACCATCC